TTTACATCCTTGTCCTTTGATGTTAATATTCTGGTTTTGTGTACGATATTTATCAAATTCTTCACGAATTCAACATCATTTATTCAAAAATACATGTTGAAAACTACAATTACAATGGATGGCGTCTTTTTCGTTCTGGATTGCGTCCGTTGTCAATGGACCAAACTTTGCTGGAATGAATTTTGCGTTTGACAAAGGTCATGTAGCCTCATCCGCAAGAGAACAGTCGTCAAATTTCCCCCGTTCTAACCCGTTCTATCCGACATGTAGTTCTCAAATCTTGGGATTCCTGATGACCAGACGATGCGGTGATAACACTGTGACAACAAGGTGACAAGATGGCGACGGCATGGGGCCGACATGGCAATGTCTCATGTCAACATGGCGATGGTATCACCATGGTGACCAGTAATTTTCCAACAAAGTGGCACTCGATTCTTAAACACGAAACAGGATCAATTTCAGTGTATGTTTTTTTGGAATGATGCGCTTAAATGAACGTTATCCTTACGCAGTCAAATTCAGTGCGTTTGGATCTCGTTGTTCACAACCAAAAACTGTAAGATCAAGGCCAAGTGAAGTGAGAGGCGGCACATGAATGAATATTTGTATCATGCAGCATGTAAGAATAATTACGACTAAAAACCAGTTGGCGATATGGTTGAAATTTCAGTCCGAAAATGTTCAATCAAACACAGGAGGTTTTGAAATGAAATGGCAGTGCTTGAAGAAAACGATTGCGTGAAACGAACGCGCGATTGAACGTGAAGAAGAGAAAAACCAGAAACTCCAAAACAAAATGGAACTCAGGTGGGCGCGAGGTTTTGGGAATGTAACATCTTTGCCCACATTTATGTAGCCAAGAAATGTCAATGCCACATTATTTTCTGGTGTGCAGAGTATCATGAAGGCACGACAGTCAAACACAAATTCATTGAGGCCCTGCCAGTATATTCTGTGATAGCCACTACGACTTCCAAAGTTTCAAATGCTTTCAGCAGCAAGGTGTGTGTGTGTGTGTTTGTGTGCGGCAATGTTTCCGTAACCGTTTTCGTTGAAAACGTGAACTTGTGCGCAGTAGTTCTCGCTGTGGATTGATGGTTTGCACGATGCAACAGTCATGATGCAGCAACGATAGGCATGCACCATTCAGCAACTACAATTGTTATAATCATGCGCGCTTCAGCACTTACGATTCAATAACTTTAGATGCACGATCCAGCAACTACCAATCAACAATCATAATTGTGCACCGTTCACCGGGCATGATGCAGCAAGTATGTTGCACGATTCAGCACCCAAGACTCGGCAATTCATGCACGGTTCCGACACTACATTTTTTCATACAGGTTTGTGCACGATCCAGCAGTTGCAGTGCAGCAGTTTCTGTTCCACCATGTAGGAAATAGGATGCATCAACCACAGCTGCACGCGATTCAACACCTTCGAATCAGGAGTTGTAATTATGCACGGTTCAACAACTACGATTCTGCAAATTTATGTATGCACGATTCATCAGCGGTTGCGATGCACCAGTTTTGCCGTACCATGAAGCAACTACAAGGCGGTAACCGTACTTTTGCATGAACCAGCACCTACGATTCAGCATGTGTAGTCAGGCAGGGTTTAGCGCGGACGATTTTACGCTTGCGACGGAACAATTTTTGTCGCACGATTCGGCAACCACCATTCGGCACGTACGATTCCCCAACTATAGTTACGCATGGTTCACCATGTACGCTTTAGCAGTTACAGTTGGGCGATTCGACAGGTATGCTTAACAACTTGCATGAATCCACCAAATTGAGTCGCCTTAGGCACAGTATCAACAGCTTCCGAGTAGTAGTCGGATAGCAACATTAATCTCCTGTAGCACTTCACGCTGGTCGCCTTCTGCGGTCAACACCGGCATTTTGTCGCTACGCATTTCATCTAAATTGCCACTCTTATGGGTAGTACTTTTTTCCCCTGCCAGCTCTCTGAAAGTATTGCCCGCGAGCATACGTGAAACACCGGTATTTTTTGTGTTGCTTTTCAAATATCATAGACGCATAAATAATATGCATGCAAAATTCGAACACACATTCGTTTGAAAATGTAAGTTGATGGTTTCCGACAAGAACCGTTTGAAGTTTGAAGGTTGCCACTGTCCAAAAATAGTGTTCGGCCTTCGGGTATGAAATCGGCGTTTTCATCTGCCCTCAGGCGGTTGTGTCACCGTAGTGATTTTGGCGACCGGCCAGTCGGCCACTGACAATCGCTTACCTTCCACCAGCCGCACCGGCCACTACCAGCCACCATCAGCCACCGCCAACCGTCATCGGTTAACCGGGAAAAAAATATGTAATTGGACCAGAGTTGAATTTGTTTCCTTGCGATGCGGCTAGGTCACTGCAATCATTGTGTATCATTGTGTATCATTGTGTCTCGCCACGGCCTCTGCTTACCACCGACCACAAGAATTGGTGAGGAGGCTCGGTGGAAATAACCTATGGAAAGCGTGTTTCGCCGGATTTTGGGTCCTTGACTGGAGCAAAAAGTGGGTCAAATTTGAACGAGTTGGTTCTCGTGCCTACCGTCAACACCGGAGAAACTTATCACCTGCGATATGATGTGAAGGACACCGTGTCCCCAAAACTCAGACAGCGAAAGGCGCACCATCCCTTGAAACTAGATATTAAACTTTAATAAACATTGGTGGCCACCATCCACTCCAAGGCGTGCAGGAACATTCTGACCCAATCATTTCTCACCCATTGGATTTTTTTTTTGCGGCCGTGGAATTGTATAGAATTATATGTTGCAAGTATCGTAGTAGCGTTAAGATAACTTTCGAGTTTTCCAGGTCGGAATTCAACAAACCTGGTGATCAGAGCATGGTTGAATTTGACACTATCACGACATGCTATCAAAAATGGTGCTCACGACGTGGCTGGACTGGACCCAGGAAAAAACAGTGCAATCAAATTCATTAAAAAAAATTGGCTATCCTCTTAACAAGGTTGCTCCTAAAGACTTCGTATCCTTCACAAAACCAAGACAATCCCAGAAAAAAACAAGTAAAACACATCAAAAAATATACGTGTTTCCACAAAAAAAAATCACAGAAAATTGGAATTAATGAAAAAAAAGGAGGAAAAAAAAAACACAAAATGGAAAGCGGAACTGAAACGGGATCGAAGCGGCACGCAAGAAAAAAATGGAAAACCGTGAAACAACATTGAAATCATAGAATCCGCTCATGTATCAAGGTCTAACCAGGCACCGCATAGATGCCAAGAGTTTGTTTGTTTTTTTTTTCCATCGCCGCGCGTCCCTGAGAAACATGGGCATGGGTTGTCCCGAAGGAAAAAAAATAGAAAACACGTGCGGTCTTAAAACTAGCATGATTATTTGAAATTATGTGCGTGTTGTGACCAATACATGTTCATTGCCTGCGATTATGGAGATATCAAGTCCAAACATTGCATTTTTGTTTCGCTTTTAAAGGCGCAAACTAGGAACCACAGAAGGCAATTAAATTGCATTTACATTCCAATAATGAATAAAAAAAGGGCTTCACGACATCCTTTTCTGAGTTATCCTGCCACGCCAAGAATCGGTGATGGGCGTGCTGTAAATTTAGCAATTGTACAATGTACGCTAATGTTTTTCCAACGTTCCGCGCAATCTCGGAAACAACCTGTTTTCGCGTGTTATCTTACCGGCAAAGATCCGGGAAATCAATGTGACCAAAGACAAAACACATGATGGATGAATCCAAACTGCACCACTTTCAATCACCGTTGGCGATGGCATGTGTTTTTTTTTGTGTTTTCTCCTCTTTTGCGGATTGCATTTTTCCAAAGTCGTTTCCCTGCACTTTGATGTGGGTTGTGTGTTTGTGTCTCCTGGATTTCCCTTTTTTTTTTTGCAGGCCACGTGATTCCGCAACGAGAGCTGGCGGCTCGGCAATTATGATTTGGACATGAAAATATGGCAAAATAAATACGCTTACCGCTTACCGAATTCGACAACTAGTATGATTTTGCAAGCCAAAGCACCGGCTTTGGCCACGACACCATGGCGTGTTTCATTGCAATATGTTTCGTCAACTTCAAGTGCGAACGAACTAAGAACGTGCAAGTGTAGGAGGCGTAGCGCCGGCACAGAGTTGAAAACATAAGAATGGCGCCGCTGTTTCAAGCCCTGCAAAGCTCAACCCAGCCTTGCCCAACTCGTCACGAGTGCGGACAAACGTTGACCATTGATGGTGAATTTATAGCAGTTTTGTCAGTTGTGTATCCTGCACTTTTGTTGCAGTGGCGCGTAGCAGATGCATGCAATCTTCTGCATTCGTACTGTGTTGCACATTGTTTGATGTCGCATGCTTGGGGCAAGTCAAAGTGTTTCAGGGTGAAATATTACCCTGTATGTGATTCGAGTTTTTGATTGACCCCAATGGACCTTATCATTTCAGGATTACGGCAATCACCACGTTTTTGGTTCCTCGGCTCAAATTTCAACACCGTCCCAAAGCCGTGGGGGATGGTTCATTAATAAAAAAAATGGTTCATTATTGTTTCAACAGCATTACCCATTTTTGTGGCACCAATGTGCCCACAAATTTGGGCCAACAACGAAGAAGTAAAGCTTCTAAATGAGCGGCCCCACACTGATGGCTAAAGGCCAACATCAGAAGCAAAACAACCGCACATAGGCCGCAGAAAAAGAAACTGTGCACTTTTTGTATGGTTAATTTTTGGGATTTCGTCAGGAAGTCCCAGAAGAGTTTCATGGAGCGTCGTCCTGGTGCAGCCTCCGTCTCAAACTGCACTTGACCCAGCAGGTGCTGCGCAAACCTTCGTCAATGGGTTGGTTCTTAGTGCCAGAAATAAGATATCAATATCCCGCCAAAGATTTCCCCAGGCGCTAGACACAAAAACGCACGCACACGCGCACACACACACGCACACTTTAAGGAACGTAATCTTATGATATCTTGAAAACAGCAGTGGGTCACAACGTCCATCAGATGACGAGCCATGCCCCGATCTGGCTTGGTGGCGGAGGCGGTTTCGGTTCCTCTTTGCGGTGCAACAAATTGATTTGATATAGCCGCTCTCATGATGTGTAGCATTGGGGGATTGTGGCTGTAACTAAATAAAAATATATAAATATAAATATATAAATGTAAATTTAAAAATAAATATAGGTATAATATTTGTATGAATACATAAATAATCATGGGTCAGTTTATAAATATAGCTGTGAAAATAAATCGCAATATAAGTGCATCATATAAATATAAATAGATAAACAAATATATATAGACAAATATATGTGTATGCAGGTATGTATATTATATATACATATATGTATGCAACATTTTGTACATAGACGATCAGGCGTTTCCGCGTCCTACAGTTATAAGAAAATGGGAGTTTCGTCATAGCGAAATTGTGATTTTGATGTTATAAAAACATATATTCGATTTTTTACCCAAACAGCTCTTGGGCTCAATGGGGTCCTCAATTCTTGCTACAAACGGCCTTTGTTCCCTGGGGTTCCGGTGCTTGTCTCCCTTCTTCTCTCCTCTTTCTTTTCCCGAGGACAGGGGTTCTGTTCCATCATGATTTGCTGGTTCCTCTTGGTTCCGTTCGTCTCTCTTCTTTGGTTCCGGTGCTTGTCTCCCTTCTTCTCTCTTCTTTCTTTCCTCAGGACAGAGGTTCTGTTCCATCATGATTTGCTGGTTCCTCGTGGGGTTCCGGTGCTTGTCTCCCGTATCCTCTCTTCTTTGGTTCCGGTGCTTGTCCCCCTTCTTCTTTCTTCTTTCTTTCCTCAGGACAGGCGTTCTGTTTCATCATGGTATTCCTGGTTCCTCTTCGTGCTGGCGGGGGTTCTGTTACTTGTCTCGTTTCTTCTCTCTTTTTCTTTTCTCTGGAAAGGGCTTCTGTTTCATCATGATTTACTGGTTCGGCCCTTTCGGGCTGGGGTTCCGGTGCTTGTCTCCTTTCTTCGCCCTTTTTTTTCCTCAGGAAGGGGCTTGTGTTCCATCATGATTTAGTGGTTCATCCCTCTTCGGGCTGGGGTTCCAGTGCTTGTCTCCATTCTTTTCCCCTTTCCCCAACAGCGTAAGCTAATTGGGTCTTCAGCCCAGAAGAGCTCCGGTGTGCACTGGTGCAGGCGCCGGGTCAGGTTCAACGAGGTTCCGGTGAAGGTTCCGAAGGTTCCGGAGAAGGTCTGGAAGGTTTTGGTGCAGAGCCGGGTCAGGTTCCACAGGGTTCCCGAGAAGGCTCCGGAGAAGGTGTGGGAGGCTAGGTGCTACAGGGTCCGGTGCGGAGCCAAGTCAGGCTCAACAGGATTCCGGGTTCCGAAGAAGGTGTGGGAGGCTTTGGTGCAGAGCCGGGTCAGGTTCCACAGAGTTCCGGGAAAAAAAAATCGGAAAGGTCTGGGGGCTGTGGTGCAAAGCTAAGTTCAAATCCGGAATTCCGAAGAAGGTTCCGGAGAAGGTTTCGGGAGGCTTTGGTGCAGAGCCAGGTCAAGTTCAACAAGGTGTGGGAGGCTTTGGTGCAGAGCCAGGTCAGGTTCACCAGGGTTCCGGAGAAGGTCTGGGAAGCTTTGGCGAGCGCTAGGCCAGGTTCAACAGGGTTCCTGAGAAGGCTCCGGAGAAGGTGTGGGAGGCTAGGTGCTACAGGGTCCGGTGTGGAGCCAGGTCAGGCTCAACAGGGCTCCGGAGAAGGTTTCGGAGAAGGTCTTGGGAGGCTTTGGTGCAGAGCCAGGTGTGGTTCGACAGGATTTGCGGCCATGTATCTACCGGACTGAAACCCAGCCGTGGCTTGGCAGCACGCTACAAAAAATTGTGCAAATAGAACGTTGCGGCTGTTAGGGATACCACCAAGCTTATTTTCTCAGGAAAGGGCTTCTGTTCCATCATGGATTTCCTGCTTCATCGTGCTTCCGGCTGGGGTTCCGGTGCTTGTCTCCTTTCTTCTCTCGCCTGTCTTTTCCCAGGAAGGGGTTTGTGTTCCATCATGGATTTCCTGGTTCGTCCTGCTTCGGGCTGGGTTTCGGGTGCTTGTTTCCCTTCTTCTCTCCTCTTTCTTTTCTCAACAGGAGTGTGCCAGACAGTTCCATGCATTTTGAATTGCACATGACCTTGGTGGAAACATGCGTTGTTGCTGTTTGGGGTCTATACTGGCGTAATTATGAATTTTGTTGGGTGCGCAAACCCTTACAGCATTTTGGTTCCTGAAACGCAGTGAGCACGTGGACTTTTGCAGACGGATCCCATCCCTTACTTGTGAAGTAGCGCGCAAACGTGTAAGGGAGTGCACGAGACGTGGCCGTTATGTGAAGTGAGAATGTATGACCATGTCGAACATGGACATGAACGTTGCTGCCCCTTCCCACCTGGTACAAGGTCCGTTTGCATATACAAGTATATATTGAGTGTCAGTGCTGGGGGGCTTATAAGTTACCCGACGATCCTAAGTATGACGGGGACAGTTAAATTGCTGGTTCTGGACAGCTGTGGCCAGCGGTGCAGGTCTCCGCCGAAAGCTGTGTTCCATGGCTCGGGTTGGCGCGGCGTCATTGCCGTGATCAGTTGGTCGAGGTGGCAACTGCAGTTACTTGGAAACATCGTTATTTTGGAAGCGGGTGGAAGCTGCACAAAAAACTTTGACCGGATTCTTTTGAAGCCTCTCGGATTCTTTGACTGTGGTAACTTGATAGATCCAAAAAATGAACCTTAATACCCCTCAAGTATCTTCAAGTTCGAACAAACGGGTACATGGGTTATTTCGTAAAATGGGGGTACGGTACCCCTAAATCATCCTTTTAAAAAGTGCCTTTTGCATGAAATAAACAACCCAGCTATTCGAGTGTTCCCATGGAACCCCTCCCAGGTGGAGACGACCAGGAGTCGCTGGGGGGTCCCCGACATCTGATGGTTGATTACCCTTTGGTAAACTAACATAGCTACGGACATCACTGTTTTTATTCCTTAACAGCGTAACCTAATGGGGTCAGCCCAGAATAGCTCCGGTGTGCACTTGGTGCAGGCGCCAGGTCAGGCTCAACGAGGTTCCGGAGAAGGTTCCGGAGAAGGTTCCGGAGAAGGTTCCGGAGAAGGTCGGGGAGGCTTTGGTGCAGAGCCAGGTCAGGTGCAACAGGACTCCGGAGAAGGTCTCGGAGGTTTTGGTGCAGAGCAAGGTCAAGTTAAACAAGGTTCCGGAAAAGTTTCCGGAGAAAGTCTGGGAGGCTTTGGCGCAGCCAGGTCACAGCAGGGTTCCGGAGAAGGTTCCGGGAGGGTTTGGGGCTTAGGTCAGGTTCAACAGGGTTCCGGAAAAGTCTCCGGAGAAGGTCTGGGAGGTTTTGGTGCAGCCAGGTCAGGTTCAACAGGATTACGGAGAAGGTTCCACGGTTTGACTTGGTGCGAAAACGGAAGTTTACAGGCAGCTAGCGTATTGGGCTCTACTTTTTCACCTTTGAACTCAATCCTTTAAAGGGGCTGCAGGCATATACACAAGTTGGCTCAAACCCCTAGGTCTTAACCAAAAACTGTACAAGTGACACATGGTAGTTACTAGTGACACGTGTGCGGAATTCACACCCCCCTTTAAGTCTAGGGGTGATCTTTCCATGTCCGTTTTGGACCTCTACTACAGGCGGACGGCTCAGTCAGGGGGCTCCAAGGATTTGCTGCACAGTCACAGCGCCAACCAATTTTAGATTGAACTCTTTTGGGCGAAAACCTTTCCAATTTTCCGGGTTGTTCTCCTTGATGACCTTGACGGTTGACTTAGTGACTGCGGTGCTACCCGCAATGTCACGAACATCTACAATTGCGAGGGACGGCAGAGCTTGAAGAACCTCGGGGCCACCTTTTGCGTGCTTTGTGAGGAAGTTACCTGGGTTGGACGTTCCTTTGACTTTTCGGATTTGGATTTTACCAGCATGAAGTGCACCTTGGACGTAGAACTCACAAACCTCTAAATGCCTGAGCTTACTACCTGGACCAATCCTCTTGGATGCAGTCAGTGCTGTGGAACTGTCGGACCACAACGTGGGAATAGAGGTAGGGAGACCAAAATCTTCTTTGGCGAGCCCGTAGATGAACAGCGCTTCTCGCACAGCTCTGCTGATGCCACGCAATTCGGCATCAGGGCTTGAAGTGGCTGGTAGGCCCGGCTGGGTTTGTGTGGTCACAGCAATTGCAGCTCCTCCTAAGTAGGCAACATGCGAGTCTGTACTGCGTCTTGTTTCTGCGCACCCTGCCCAGTCTGAGTCAGAATACACATCCAAGCTTAGTTCTCCATCATAAACTTTTGGATCCAACGCAGTCGCCCGCACATATTCAGGATGAGCTTGCAAATATCGGGCAAGAACCACTGCACAATCCCAGTCACATTGTCGAGGGGCAGCCATTCGCCGCGCCAGCTCTTTTACCCCAAACGCTATATCGCGACGGTCAGCAGACAGGTAGATACCGGATCCGATTGCGGACCTGTACCTGCTTGCCATTTCGGCGTTCAGTGGCTCGTCGCGGTTTAGGTCAGCTTTCTTTGAAGGCACTTGCGAACGCTCCTTTGGTCCAATGCCCAAAGTTCGGATGATGTTTTCTGCATGCTTTGGATCTGGCGCCGTCAAGATGGCACCGGCTAGGCGTGTCTTTGTTCTACCTAGCACTTCCACTGCGACCCCCTCACTTTCAAGAGGGCCAGATTGGATTTCACAGTGGCGGGGGATGACCTTATCAATGAGATAATTCAACATTGATGCAGGTCCCGCACACCGAACATCATCCACATGATGGACTAGCGTCACCTTTGTTTTGTTACAACGGTAGGCACAAGGGTCGCGCACTCCACGTTTGAATTCAAACTCAGGCTTCAGCTTGGTGCACAGAATGTCTTCAAGTTCATCCCTGTACACCGAGCCAGCCGTGCGGCGGCCATATAGGTTGCCTTCCAAGCGAAAGAGATAGTCAGCAAAGGACGCCTTCGCTTCTGCGATTTGAGCTGGTGTCCAGGGCTGTTGTGATACCCACTCTTCAAACAAAGGGCGCCACTCAGGCGGGGCTCTCATATAGACAGGTTCGCCTTCTTGTGCACCGCGGTCTTGGCCAATCAGAAAAGCAGCCACTATGTCAAAAGTACGCATGGCATGGCCATGTCTCAAAGCAGAGATTTCCAACAGTGCATGGGATTCCGGTGTTGGTGTCGGAACAAAGACGTTCATGTCCTGTTCCTCTTCTGAACTGTATTTCCGTTTCACGTCAGCGCAGGTGAAACGGCTCTTGTAGACACCATCCCGCTGTTTGTCGACCCATTTGAAGTGGAAGATTTTGCTACCTTTTGGTACGTCAGTTTTGTGGACGGGCACGAACGCGTTTTTCTTCCACAACTTTTCTAACTGGGCTAAACGCGCTTTCTGCACTTCTTGAGTGTCAAGGACGCCATCTAACCAGCCCATTACCGCTGCCAGACGTTGGATTGCATGAGGGTTGCCTTCTTCAGTGGATTCGGCCCATTTAGCTACAGCTTTCCACACTTCTTCTGTGTGAAGTTTTCCGATTTTGGGTTTCTTGGGCGGTTCTTCCCGCACCTGTTTTGCTGGCCTTTGTTCTTCCACCCTACTTGGGTCCCCCATGCGCTTTGATGTCGGGGACATCCCCCCTTCACCAAGTCCGGCGGGCATTGCTGGCTCGCTTGGCAAGGAAGCCATAGGAGAATTCCATCCAGCACCCCGCACTGCAATCGGAACATCAGCGCCGTTGCCATCATCTGGGCTGTCCATCGGAATTTCGGGGACCGGTGTTTCAGGCGATGATGCAGGCGTGGTAGGCTCTGGCTCGACATCCGTAGGGGCCTCTCCAGGTAGAGACAAAAGAAAGAGAAGCCTGTTCGGCTTCCAAAAGTTCTGCCATTGCATCTCCCTCCGCCGCTAAGTTTGGAAAGTCCAGTCGTTCCGCAGGGCCGTCTTGGGCCATCACTGCTGGAGACGCTGGCAAGGATCGCTCCTCTGTTGTGCGAGGTTGCGGTGCCTGCGGCACAGGTAAAGCGAGAAAAGGTGGAGATGTTTGAGGTGGCGGGATTGCCGCTCTTCTACCCCATTTTGGCAGCCAAGGGAGTCCAGTGACTATGCCTAACGTTGCTGCTTGTCATAGGTTTGAAGGTGGGAGACGACGTACGGAGCGCACACTCAAGGCCCCAGCTGCTGTCAAGATGATGTGAGTATCATCCCGCTCAAGTCTCCCTACCCAGATGCCTTTCACCCAGCGTCTTCGCGTTTTTGTGCCAGGCTGTGGCAGACGGGCCATGACCGTCTCACCAAAATGACAGATAGGGGACATGTAGTCGACGCCATTCAGGACACGGTACGATGTTGCATGATCTTTTGTGCGCGGTTGGAAACGTGCAACAAGCTACGAGGCATGCCGCACTAACCATGGGAAAGCAACATGGTTCACGTCCACGGGGCACGCGGGATATTTTGATTGGAGATCCAAGAGGATGGTCCGAACCAATCCGGCGATCTTCGCGTGTTCGCCCTCGATGGCACCCTGGCTTTGGTGTGAGTGGATCGGTGCTTCCCGAATCTGCACTCGTTTATCACCCATTCCTTTTTGAATTGCTTTTGCGACGCTTTTGATCGAGTTTTCTTGGTCGATCTGGATGACGGTCTTTTCGTGGCCAAGGTTGCGCAGATATTGTTCCACAGTGTTGAGGACGTATTGCGAACAATCACCTTTCTTTGTGACTTGAAGGGACAACGGCCAAGCACTGGTTTTGTCGACGAACGTTAGGACGGTAACAAGGGTGGACTCATCTTCGACCAGACTTTGCTGCGCACTGCGTGCAAAGAACGTGTAGTCCGCTTGCACCACGGTCTCGAGCTGGCCATTTTCGCCCATTTGTTTTCGTCGGTGCTGAACATCTCTTCCAGCTCCGGCCACGCATAGTTCACACCATGGTGCATACGGCAGGTGTGTCAGCAAATGACGTTGTTTTTGTTCGGCCGAAGGTTCGTCTGGAACGGGCAAGGCTGCTGGTTCAGGGGCGTGGGGTTCCAACGCCTGTTGTTCGAGGGATTTGTCATGAGCGTTTTCAACCCTTGCTGCGTCATCCCCTCCGACCGGTGGGTCCTCTTGCTCAGAGTCGCTGTCCCCTTGCCGCATTACGTAGTCTCGTACCGCTTGGGCGTCTGGATCTGCCAGTGCTGCGTCCGCTTCTGCGTCGCCAATTGCGGCGACCATTTGCGAATGTTCATGGCACATTTCTTCAAAGGGCATGATGAACTGGTTTCCTCGGCGGTGGAAATCCGCGCGAGAACCGTCTGCCCACTGAACGTAAGAATTGCTGGGGCTGAAGACCACTGTGGCACCGGCATCGATGGCCCTGTTCACTGACAAAATGTCATCCGTGAGGCCATGAACGACTTGGAACTTTGTCTTTGCACCTTGTCGGGAATTTTTGCCTAACAGTAACACGGGTTCAATAGAGCCTTCACAGTTCAACGCCGTGTCGTCGACAGAATATAGGGCCAGTTTATCGTTTGAATCTACGGGCTGCCGAAAGGATTCAGGTCGACAAACGGAAACACTCGCGCCAGTGTCAACGAGAAGTTCACCCTTGTTCGGTTGCCATTGTTTTTTCCCGATTCGCATTACACGTTTGCGATCGTAGACGTGACGGATCCCGGATTTCAACGATGCGCCATTCCCAGCGGGGATGCCCGCATGGGAGACGGAAGGGCCTACTGACGTGGGAGCAGTGGACGTGTTTTCGTCGCTGACGGATTGGATGTTCCCCCGACCTTTACCAGACGTGCCATCCTTGCTTTGTTTCCCTTGACCCTTCGCGTTGTACCAGCATTCTTGTGTGGAATGGTTTCGCCAGCAGATTGCGCACTTTTCCCTTTCTTCGTTTTTCGCAGTGTTTTTGCCGTGTTCGCCTTTTTCGCTCTTTTTGCCGTCGCCTTTTCTTTTGCCTTCTCCTTTCTTGCCTTTCTCCTGTTTTCCTTTTCCTTTGCCTTTCTTGTCATCGATTTTGTCGACGTTCATCGCATCTGGATCCCTAGCACGCGCGGTGTGTCCCGCAGCGTAAGTAGCTGTTGGTATCCAGACCCTCTTGGCCTGGAGGTAGCTTACCACTACTGCGCGCACTTGCTCATAAGTTGTGAGCGTTGCCGCGTGCATCGCCAAATGCTGTTTCAGGGCTACGGGGCTTTCAGTGATTAACAACGCTCGTTTGTCTTCATCCGCTATGGCGCGTTCGGCTCCGAATTCGGCGGGATAGCGATCGACATCATTTTCCCATTCTTGAAGCGCTGCGCTGAAATCTGCCTCGCGCGTTGGAAATTTTGGGGACAACAACGTTCTGCGCCAGATGAGGGATTTGTTTGTTTGTTCAGGGTGGTACTCTCGCCAAAGAAGACGCCAAAGTTCAAACCCATTTTGTCCCTGAATTCCCCGGGCAATTTTCACCGCACTCGGGGCATCTTGCGTCCATGAAGTTATCAGACCAAAAAGTTTGATGGATAACATCCGGTAGTCAAAAGCCATGCCTTCCATAGCACAAGGTTTTTGTGACCGACGGGCTTCGTCTAGATATTCTGGATACCGGTCATCCATCAAAGTTAGAAAAGTTTCAACGTGAAACACAAACCTTTCCCAATCAGCCGCCCCTTTTTCACTAAGTGATTTTGGTGGTTCCACTGCTTGTTTGAGAAGATCTACTCCTCGAAAAGGGTGAGACTCTGTTACAGCAGGCTGACTAACGGCAGGTTGACTTGCTGCGGTTGCTGCTGCTACTGCTTGCACGCTGAGTTGGTGCTGCAGGGTTGCGACTGTTGCTTCGAGTTCAGCTTGCCGGTTTTGAGCTGCTTGAAGCATGTTTGCCATTTGCGTTTGATGCTGCTGCATCTGTTGCAATTGCTCTATGAGCTGTTGTGCGGTCATCCCGGCTTGTTGTTGGGCCGATGCCTGCGGCCCGCTGGATGGCTGTGATTGCTCCATCGTTCCTGTCTTCAGGTTGGTGGGTCACGCCTCCTTCGATCAGTGCCAATGCCCGTTCGTAGTATGCTGCACCGAAGCGTGGGGATGGTTCTTCGACGTCCTCCTCCTCTCCGGGCTTCGCAGTTGTATGGGCGGGGCTGTCCGCGCTCTCGGCGGGGTGTGTGTCAGCAGAGTCGGGGACAGTTGTTTGTTCCTGTTCCTCCTCCTCGGCGGGCAGTGCTTGGACGATTTCGGGGTCTTCTTCCGACCACGAAAAGTCAGGCCTGCTTTCAAGAGATGGGGATGAACGTGTTCTACGGTCTACCTCCTCACTCTCTTCACCTGTATGGGGTTCGAGGGCAGCTGCTTGTCGTCTAGCTTGTCCTCGTTGTTGTCGCTCAGCTTGCTTTTGCGCGCTGCGCGTGCCTCGCCTGTTCCTAGGCTTCGGTTTTGGGGTTGGTGTGGTGTAACTGCTGGCACCGGCACGCCAGTCAGCCCACGTGTTGCTGGACCAGTCTGTCGCTGTCCAGGTTTGGTTGTTTTGCCAGTCAGATGTGTGCCACTGACCAGAAGAACGGTTTTGCCACCAACTATTGTTGTAGTGGGACGTGGCGGCGCGTCCCTGGAGCCTGGCGGTGCTACCCGCTCAGCGCTCCGCTACCATGCGAAAACGGAAGTTCACAGGCAGCTAGCGTATTGGGCTCTACTTTTTCACCTTTGAACTCAATCCTTTAAAGGGGCTGCAGGCATATACACAAGTTGGCTCAAACCCCTAGGTCTTAACCAAAAACTGTACAAGTGACACATGGTAGTTACTAGTGACACGTGTGCGGAATTCACACTTGGCAGCACGCTTCAGAAAGTAAAACGTTGCGGCTGTTGGGAATACCACCGAAGTTAATTAGTAAATCATCTATAAATGGATATAAGTTGTTCATTTTCCATAGCAACTTTAGTTTAGTCGAGTCGAGGGTATATATCATTTTTCATTCAGATTGTTTTTTTTTTGGGGCCTCCCTCCCACGGCCAAATATAGTGGAAACTTGCAGGAGTCAAATCGCTCGCGACTTTCTGGCGGCCGTCTCACAAGAAAAAACTGGCCGGCCGCATCGGCTTAAGACATCTTTTGAGGACAGTATCATTGATTGAACATGTTTAAGGTAGTTCAGATTTGGAAATGAGCGAGCAGTAGCTTGCAAATGGGCACACAATCAAGCATCATTTTGAACCTTTCCAAGAGTTGATGGTCTAGTGGGATGGGGAACGGGTGTGGCTGCGGGGACTCTCTTTCTACCACTGGATGTTTGGGCATGAGTAAGCCATTGGTGTAGGAATTAGCTTTGACTCTTGTGTGGCAGTTTTGTGACACGAAAACTAGTTTCTGCTAGCTGAAGTCTCTGTTGCTTTAACAAGATATTGGCAGGCGCTGGAACGCCAACCACGTGAAACTTCACAGCTAACTACCCCCTGCCCCCCTTGTTTGTCTTGGAAGTTTTGCTGTGGGACATCGTCGCCATATCGTCGCAATTAACATCATCAGCATCATCAGACTTACTCTCCACTTCGTAGGTCCGATTCCTCACACACACACACGGCGCTTTCACGACACTTCCTTCTTCTCCCTTTTCCCTCCTAGCTAGCTTTCGTCCCTTACCATCCTTACCCCGCCTCAAGCAAACTCTTCGCAATTGCGGCTTGCAGTTTTAAGAGGATTCCCCTACAGAGCAGGCCAAGTTTATAGTTATTTTTTTGGTTCCCTTTGCTTCGACAACTCCAGGAGGCAACGCAACAGCCGACCAAACAACACGATTGCGGGTGACTTGTCTGAAGCCAGCGGGCAATGGGTCGTGGGACTGGGCCGACCAGCCGCAACGAGGTATTCCTTGGCAAAGGGTGAGAAGAGGTGTTGCGAATTTGAAGATGAAGGACCCAAATAGCTGTTGGTGGCCTTGGTTTGGAAGATTTCTGTTGGTGGACACATCCTGGAACCACAGTTTTGGGGTATTTACATGGGGGAATGAGGGAGGTGTTTTTAAGCCTATATGCAGGTCCAACTTGGTGCAAAGATTAAAGACACAGGAATCCCCAGCCAGCCACTACAAGAGGGTATATCCTCCTCAACTAGCAAAGTTCCTCTCTGACCCCAGATTCTTCTTGTGGTACGGTACCTGGTGCAAAGTGTGACTTTTCCTTTTCGTACTGGATTCTTGCGAGCTGCAGGCTTGGAACCACCGTTTTTCGAGTCAACCGTCAGCGAAAATGCATGGGAAGGCCTCATTCATCCCAATTCTGAAAACTTCCCTGGCCCTGCCAGGAAGTTGTCAAACCTGCTGTGCTGAACATTATGAGCAGCCATATTGCAGGGCGTTTTGCCAGAGGACGGTCAAAACTTCAGCAATGGGCGCCGACTTACGGATATTTAATGTTTGATATTTCATATTTCATATTTAATATTTAGTATTTAATATTTCATATTTCATATTTCATGTTTCATATTTCATATTTCATATTTAATATTTATTATTCATTATTTATTATTTATTATTTATTATTTATTTTTATTATTTATTATTATTATGTTTTATTTACAGTATTATTTATTATTTATTATTATTTATTATTTATTATTTATTATTTATTATTTATTTTTATTATTTATTATTTATTATGTTGTATTTACAGTATTATTTATTATTTATTATTTATTATTTGTTATTTATTATTTATTACTTATTATTTATTATTTATTATTTATTTATGATTTATTGATTTATGATTTTTTATTTTTTATTTTTTATTTTTTATTTTTTATTTTTTATTTTTTATTTTTTATTTTTTATTTTTTATTTTTTATTTCTTATTTCTTATTTCTTTTTCTTATTTATTATTTAATATTTATTATTTATTGTTTATTATTTATTATTTACTATTTACTATTTATTATTTCTTATTTTTTATTTCCAATTTCTTATTTCTTATTTCTTATTTATTATTTATTATTTATTTATTTATTTATTTATGTATACATCCATCCATCCATCCATCCATACGTACGTACTTACATACATACACATACACATACACATATACACATACACATACACATACATATACATATATATATATACACATATTAAATATATATACATATATATATATATACATATATATACATATATATATACATATATATATACATATATATATACACATATATATATATATACATATATACACATATATATACATATATATATACACATATATATATATACATACATATATATATATATATATACATGCATGCATGCATGCATGCATGCATACATACATACATACAATATGAAAAATTCTCAAGCGAAGTATGCCGCTTCAATGTCCAACTTGGGGGATTTCGATCGTCAATATGGTGTCAGCTTTCAGTGGGTAATTTCCGTTGATACCCTGATTGCAACCCCATCAGGAATATGTGCATATCCAACCAAATTGAGTAAGAGTGTTCTGCCGAATATGTGTCTACACACACACACACTGTTTTTCCTGTTGGAAAACTCATTGAGGTTAGTGAATTTGGTGATTCTGCATAGTTCAGATTGGAATCATTTCTGTTCAATGCAGACAATCGGAAAATCTCTTTGGATGGGCTGAAATGACACCACCTGAAGGATGTGCCAAAGAGGCATCTTCAAGACGTGGTCCGGCGGTGGAAAGACGAAGGTCCCCGTTTGCCCGGTGGGTGGCCCAACGAAGGCGTGGCGGTGGAGTTTTCTTTTTGGCAGGACCATGAAGATTGGAGAGTGGCTGCAGCAAATCAGATGTATCTATGTGTATTTCCCTGAAGTTAGTCAAGTCAGACAATTCATCATAAAGCAACCTAAATCTTTTTCAGGGACGGGGTGGGTATCCTTTGATTTATCCCAGGCTCTTCAAGCCTATGACCTGGCCAAAGTGGAGGAGCTTCGGCAAAATTTTGTTTGGGTCATCTTCCATGGCCATGTCGGTGATGTTTGCCTCGACCGCTGGAACCAAGGGGAAGTTCGTGAATCCGTACTTGGACTGGAAGGGTGAGAAGTTTGAGAAGGATGGGGGTCGCAAGCACTTGGGTTGGCTTGCTGAGGCCAGCAAAAACAACGACGAGATTTGATGTTATATACTACTTGCACATGAAGATGCATCCATGTCTTAGACACACACACACACACACACGCAATGACACGCAAGACTATAACTATATTATATATAGGGGTAGATCAGATTTTTTCACACACACACACTAATATATATATATATATGGTACAGGCCTGCAACCCCCCACCCTCCCCCGGCCATGGGGATGGTTCCTAGGATTGGGTGTATTACCTCCCTGGAATCCAACTATCATGCAAGGTACCTCTGCTTCCTCGCCCCCCCCTGTGGGTGGGTTGGGTGTAGTATGTATGTACCTACGTAGGTTGGTAGGTATAGGCATGTATGTATGTATGTAATGTAATGTAATGGAATGTGATGTGATGTGATGTGATGTGATGTAATGTAATGTAATGTAATGTAACGTAACATAATGTAATGTAATGTAATATAATGTAATGTAATGTATGTATGTAATGTCATGTAATGTCATCTAATGTCATGTAATGTCATCTAATGTCATCTAATGTCATGTAATGTCATTTAATGTAATGTAAGGTAAGGTAAGTTAAGTTATGTATGTATGTATGTATTGTAATGTAATGTAATGTCATGTCATGTAATGTCATGTAATGTAAGGTAATGTAATGTAATGTATGTATGTATGTATTTATGTATTTATGTACGTATGTATGTATGCATGCATGTATGTGTGTATGTTTGCTTGCTTGCTTGCTTGTTTGTTTCTTTGTTTCTGTGTTGGGGGTACTACCTCCCTGGAATCCAACTATCATGCAAGGTACCTCTGCTTCCCCGGCCCCCCCCTGTGGGGTGGGATGGGTGTAGTATGTATGTACCTACGTAGGTTGGTAGGTATAGGCATGTATGTATGTATGTACGTATGTATGCATGTATGTACGTATGTATGTTTGTATGTATGTAATGTAATGTCATGTAATGTCATGTAATGTCATCTAATGTCATCTAATGTCATCTAATGTCATCTAATGTCATCTAATGTCATCTAGTGTAATGTAAGGTAAGTTAAGTTATGTATGTATGTATGTATTGTAATGTAATGTAATGTCATGTAATGTAATGTCATGTAATGTCATGTAATGTAATGTAAGGTAATGTAATGTAATGTACTGTATGTATGTATGTATTTATGTATTTATGTACGTATGTATGTATGTATGCATGCATGTATGTATGTGTGTATGTTTGCTTGCTTGCTTGTTTGTTTCTTTGTTTCTGTGTTGGGTGTACTACCTCCCTGGAATCCAACTATCATGCAAGGTACCTCTGCTTCCCCGCCCCCCCCCTGTGGGGTGGGTTGGGTGTAGTATGTATGTACCTACGTAGGTTGGTAGGTATAGGCATGCATGTATGTATGTATGTACGTACGTATGTATGTACGTACGTATGTATGTATGTATGTATGTAATGTCATGTAATGTCATGTAATGTCATGTAATGTAATGTAAGATAAGGTAATGTGATGCAATGTATGTATGTATGTATTTATGTACGTATGTATGCATGCATGTATGTATGTATGTTTGCTTGCTTGCTTGCTTGTTTGTTTCTTTGTTTCTGTGGTATGTATGTATTGGGGGGGTGCAGGCAGTTACTATATATTTATACATCATACATGCCATAGACCTACATTCTCCAGTTGCTGTGCATTGTTGCGCTTTGTTTGTTGTCTCTGAACTCGCTGAATCCGCAGCCTTCACCCATGAAAGTTGCCTGATGTGGTGGCATGGACCCACCACTGTGCAGCAATACAATGGTGTTGCATGGTCAGCCATGAAGATCACCGATGACAAGGAGAAATCGCCATTCGAATCATCGCCATTGAAACTTAGCAGCATGACTGACCATTTCCTGTCTTCCTCTCAAGCTGGTGATGAGTACCACCTCGGTTCTAGGGTCCACCTTGGAATTTTTGAGGCTGGGAGTTGCCACTAATTGGTGGGGTCTTAGTTGCCCTGGTCATTGTGGTTCTTCGTCCCTCATTGTCATCTGTCTTGCTCTCTTAGCTGGGATCTCTCTGGGACTGCTTCTTGGATTTCTAGGGGCTTATTGGATTTTGTCTTGCCCTGTTCAGCCGCCTCATTCCGGACCGTCTGTGGTTCAATTTCCTCACTCCTTGCTGAGAAGGAGGTCAAGGCTTCAAGCCTACTTACATGAGTGAGTCGGAACTTGTGCTTTTGAGGAGCCAAGTATCCGACCTGCGAGATCGAGTGCTGAGTTTGGAGTCCCAAGTCAGGGACCTTCTGCGGCTTCATCACGGCGCTGAGAGCCCTGTCCCTGACAACTCTTCTGTTGATTTGGTGTCATCTGAGGTTACTAGGGAGTTCCCACTGCTGTCTGAAAACGCCAAAGAGGTATTGGCAGGTCAGTTCCCTCAGTGCCCACCGGCTGCCCTTGAATTGTGTGCATTGCTCAGAGGAGGTCAGATTTCCAAAGAGCAGAGAGCTAGACGAGCGTGGATTGCTGGGTGCTGGGCCAAGCTGGCCTTGGAAGACAAGATCCGCTTGCCTGAGCCAGCTGAGCCTATCGGGCTTTCCAATACCTGCTTCATTATCCTCAGAGCTGCAGGGCATCAAACCCCCAAGCTTGTGGAGGATTCAGCCACGTATCAAAGGATCTGCCAGGGTCCCACTTGCCGGCCTGTTGGCCACGGCTTCGCATCGAAGTCAGAGGCAAAGGTTTACTGTCTGGCAGCAGAGATTGAGTTTCCCAAGAAGGTGTTCGCATGGAGCTCGACTCAGTGATAGACCTGCGTTCAGGCGCACTGGAACTGTATCGAATTGCTTGGCCCCCAACTGGGGTCGACAAGGTGACCTACGGCCTCGCGTTGGTGGTGAGAAAGAGACATGGAGCAGGGGGAGGTGTTTTGTTGGCTCTGCCAGAGAGTTTGACTTCCACCGCTGCACTCTTGGATTTGTGCACCGGGCAGGCAGATGCCATAGTTGGGGCCTTCCACTACTTCGACATTCCTGCGGTCAGCAATCAGAATGGACTTCAGCCTTTGGACTTTTTGGTGACTGTAGTGGTAGTGGATGTGGCTTTGGATGCTCTCTCCTATATGGTACCGATGTCTCAGGTTTCAGAAGAAGAGGATGTGGGGATAGTTGGCTTTGGAGAAGATTTGGATGTTTTGCCAAACTCAGGACTGCTTTTGTCCCGGGTTGCGACCTGGCTCAACGAGCTCACAGATCAACGCGCAGTTTTCTACTCCGCGGAAGAAGGGGTAGAGGTAGCGGATTTGGACGGTCAGCCAATGGAGGAGGAGCAGGAGGAGCCTGGAATGCAGACCCCGAAGGCGACTGCAGCAAAGCTACCGCCCAAAGCGAAGGAATCAAAACCAAAGAGGGTTACTACAGCATCCCTGGCCGAGCAGATGAGGACTCTTTTGGAGGTGGTGCCTGCTTTGACACAGCAAGTAGAGGCAATGAGGGTCGAGCAGGAAGCACTCAAAAGATCTGTGGAGGAAGGACAAGATCGTCCGGCCCCAAGACCCTCTCAGCTTCCTATCAGCGCTCCTCTGGCGTCAGTGGCCAAGATGTTGGGGCAGCCCCCAAGAACCAAAGCAGCGGCCAGGCTAGCTGTGCCTATGTCTCCGGCGCCAGACCCTCCATTAGGCATTCAGGAGATTGCGGAGGAGAAGAGCCCAATGGCAGGGGACCCCCTGTCACATGCAGTCCTCGAGCAGAGCAAAGCTTTGACGGCATTGGGGGCTCATCTTCAACAAGGCGGAGATCCGTTGTTGGACGGGCACGGCACCTCATCAGGCAGCTCACTAGGTACACGAGGTTCGGTTGGTCGGGAGAAGCTGCAAAGAGAACTCGCGATGAGGTCAGGAGGTTTCTTTCTTGCAGTCCTCCAAAATGCTGCTCGGAGGTTGAAACCGGCATCGAAGATGCCAGAGACAGTGGATGCCCTTGCCCAGACAGACTTCTCGATGGTCCAGTATCTGGAACGCTTCGGCGGCTACGGTGGATCGAAAGAACTGGGTTTGATCCAGTATGCTCTTGCTCACATTTGCGATGCTCTTGTCCATGGAGATTCCGAGGGTGCGAAGGAGCACCTAGCTCTTCTTATGGTGGGGGTGGAACAAGCCTGCATGGACCATGGACGATGGGAACTAGCGTATCGACTCATGCTCCTGGACGAGCCCCCATCCCAACTGTGGTCCTACCGGCAGGCGGGATACGATCCCAAGTTGAGGGCGTTTGCCCCTCTTTGCCCTCAGAGATGGACAACGATTGCGCTGGCATACAGCAAAGAGATAGACTATATCCACCAGAAGCGCAGCGAGATGACTCATCAGCCCAAGGGCAATCCTCAAGGCCTCAGCGAGCCAAAGGCTGCCCCGAAGAAGCCTGGAAAGGGCTCGCCAAAGGGGAAAGGCCCTGCAAAGCCCCAAGAGGAAACGTAGCCCTTGGGGACTATAAGCAAAATGAGAGTCGGCCCCTCTCTTCCTTGCTGAGCTCTTCATCGTCAGTGCGGGCAACCGCAATACACAGTCGGGAAGAAGAGGGGCCATATGACTCTGACCATGATGGCAGCATGAGTTCCTTTGTGAGTTTCAGCGCAGATGGCAATGAATTCATAGATGGCTCAACAAAAAATCTAAAAATCCCCAAGAGCCATACTGAGCACACAGGCCAGCATGAAACTGCCGGCAAATGTGCTGTGATTGGAGGTGGAAGTGGGCATGATGATTCGAAGCAGTCTGAATCCCAACGCTCATCGCCAAAATTAGATGCGCCTGAGGTTCGATACAATGATGTTGGAGTCCTCCGGCAAGTTCCCTTTCCGTCTTGGGTTGAGCAATTTGTGCGCCAACTGCTCGGGGCCAAGACTTCATTTTCATTTTTCTTGGTACAGAGTTTCAAGTCCTGCCGCAGTGGTCGTGATGACTTCACTGCTACGGCTCTCTTCCCGATTCCGTGGCCTTTTCTTGAGATTACGGAGACGGGCCCGGCAAGACCCAGCCAGAGGAGTCGCCTTTTGAAGGCACAGAAAAAACTGGTTCATTGTGCAGTGATGGCAATGAACTATGAATACTTCAGGGCTCCTTTTGCTGTGTTACCCTTGCTCCGGAGGCAGCCTTCAGCCTTACATTTGCAAGTGTATCATAGGCCTATGGCTTTTGTGAGAGCGTGTGGCCCTTCCTGCAACGTTTCAATCGCAGGGTGTGGCCGGAAGAGTTTTCAATTAGATGCAAGATTCAATGAGCTTTTGAAGGGATTGGAAGGCCTAGGGTTGGAGGCGAAGTCGAAGTACCACTCTGGCTTTGAGGCTGAGGAGGTCCCTTTGGATGATTCGAGGTATGAGGAGCTTAAGCCCTACAGGGAGCTTGATGCAGGGCGTATTAAGATTGCAGGCAAAGGACAGTGGAGGTGCGAGGAATTTTTGTCGGATTTCTTGTACATGCCTTTTGTTGAGCCTAGGGTTTTGCGATGGAATGGGAAGCCTCCTTGCGGGAGTTATCCAAACGTTGAGCAGTGCGATCCCGAGGAAGTGCTCAAGCTTTGTCTCATTTGGGATGCCAACAACCTGCTGACTTTGATCCCCAAATGTTATGGTCCTGCAGACGATCAGAAGTTTCTTCACACCAGGATTTTTGGAAACTACAAGCGGATAGATGCAGACAGGCAGATTGGAGACCGGCGTGGAGCTAATTACGTAGAGGGCATCCTGCGAGGAGGACCATCAAGCAACTTGCCCACAGGCCCGTCTTTGCTGCAGCTTGAGGTCCCTAGGTTCTCCAAAGTCCTCTGTGGGTCTGTCACAGACCGTCGAGACTTCTATCATCAGTTTGCAGTCCCATTTGAGAGGGCATCCACCAATACGCTATTTCCAGCGTTCAATGCAGCAAGGTTTGTAGGTACAAGAGCACATGAAGAGTATGCTTTTCATTTTTCACCGCAGAGCAAGAAGAAGGCACGAGAAGATGTGGGAGATTTTTTGGGCGAGCCTCAGCCCTTGCTGGTTGAAGGCTCCTCCGAAGGAGAGGTTTATGCGTGTTTTCAATCTTTGCTGCAAGGAGACCATTTGGGTGTCGAATTTGCATGCGATTCTCACGGGAGGTTGCTGGAGGAGCAGGGCTGTAGGGATCCTCTCAGCATCTTGCAGTCTGACGAAGCAGTGATCCACAATGATCCAGCGACTGGCCTTGTGATTGATGATTTCTTCATTGTCAGTGTGGAAGATAGGATCTTGGCTTCTGGTGACAGACTGCTGAAGCAGGGCAAGTCAAGCCAGGTTTTGGACAAGGCGAAGGATGTCTATGCATCAGAAGGGATCACAGGATCAGATGACAAAGAGGTGCGTGATGCGCTTGTCTTCAGAGCGGTTGGAGCTGAGATCAACTCCTCTACAGTTCTTGTGGACAGAGGCCTTGTTAGCATTGGTGCTCCCCTTGACAAGAGGCTGGGACTAGCAATGATCAGTGCTGCTCTTGCAAACCTCCCATACACCTCTGATGCTTTGCATGCCACTATCATGGGATCATGGATATTGGCCCTCATGTTCAGGCGATGTTTGATGGCTCATGTCAACGATTTGTTTCAAGTCATCGCCCCAGAGGAGTTGGATACATTGAGGCCTAGGTTGAGGAGGTTGCCAAGGAAAGCCGCAGAAGAGCTCCTAATTTTAGCGACACTGGCTCCATTTGCTGCCAGCAACATTGCAGCACCTTTTGCGGATCGCATCTATGCGTCAGACGCCTCGACTGGAAAGGGAGGATTTGTGCGAGCACCTGTCCCGCAGGAGATTGCCAAGATCCTTTGGCGTACTGCTGACAGGAAGGGGAAGAATGTTGCCCTTCCGTCAAAGACAGCTGCCCTTCACTCATACCACGATGAGTCCTTTGAGTTCTTTGATGAACCCCTCCCGGCCGGAGACGGGGAAAGTGCTGAGGAGGTGGAAAGGCCAATTGGTTTGTACTTTGAGTTTATTGAAGTTTTTGGAGGAGCTGGCGTAGTCACAAAGCATCTGGTTGCACTGGGTGTCGTCTGTGGCCCTATTCTTGATCTTTCCGAGAGTTTGCAGTATGACCTGAGGAAGTGCAGAGTATTCTCTTGGCTTTGCTTTATGATGGAGAATCATAGATTGAGAAGTTTTTTGGCAGCTCCTCCTGGCACAACGTTTAGCCCAGCTGCGCACCCTGCCCTCAGAAGCTACCTGATGCCACTGGGTTTTGACAGGCTGCATCCTCGGGTGCTCCATGGAAACCAACTTGCTTTTGCTAGCTTGGGGTTGATGACGGTGGCATTGCGGATGGACGTGTACGGGATGACAGAAACTACAAGAAGATCCAAGCTGCGCTGGACCCCTATGTGGCGGCGGCTGTTAGCCAGAGGTGCTCAGGAAGTCATCCTTGCGTCCTGCGCCTTTGGTAGCCCCCACCAGAAAGAGTTTGCTTTCATGAATGTGCACATGGATGTGGACCACCTTCACAGGAAATGCCCACGCAATCATGTTCACATCAGAGTGGAGGGGTGCTACACCAAGGCCAGCGCGACATATACTGAAGGTTTGGCCATCGAGCTTGCAAAGGCTTTCAGGGATCATTTGAGGCCTCTCAACGCTCATTGCGACATTGAGGAGAAAAAAGGGCTTGAGGATATCATGTCCAACGATCTCTCTACGAGCCTTGAGTGGGAAACAGTTAGCGCATGGAGATGGAAGGGTGTAAGCCATATCAACTTGCTTGAAGTAGCGTCAGGCTTGAGAGTTTTTGAGGAGGAAGCCAAGCAAGGGGGAGATGTCAGATTTGTCAACCTCTATGATACCCATGTTGCACTCTGCTCCATCAATAGAGGCAGAACTTCCTCTCTGGCTCTGCGCCCTCTTCTAAAAAGAGCATCCTCTCTCAGCATTGCCTATGGACTTTACCATGCTGGTAGGTTCACACCTACACGTCTCAATCCAGCAGACCATCCCACGAGAGACTCAGATATCCCAGCTCCAACTCGCAGTCTGGCTCCTCATCTTCCCCAGGAGGTCAGGTGGCTTTGCACCCTTAAGGGTCTCAGGCGTTGGACTTCAAATTGGATTCGTCTCTCCATCCTGCTTGTCCCGTCTTGGATTTCCTTTTTCGCAGATCCTTCCGCAAGTCGCAGGTATCCTCCGACCATTGGACTTAGGTCACGCTCTTCCATGGATTTTGATCAGACTCTTGGGTTTCCCGGGGAGGGACCACAGTGGCTTAGGGCTTTTTGGGGTATTCCTTTTTGGATTTTACTGACTGGGTGGACTCCTGTAGCTGTAGCTGTTCCTAGCCATGGCGATCTGCAACGTCAGAAGTCTCGAGCTGGGATAGAACTGCCAGAAGGACGCAGAGTGACAGAGCAGACATCATCTTTCCGCGCCCAACTGTTGGTGAATCTTGGTAGCTGGCTGCGTACGGTTGGGACTTCATTTGACGATCTGATCTGGGAGAACCCGCCAAACCTTGACAAGATCAACTCTTTCTTGGCAAACTATGGTAGGTATCTCTTTGACCAGGGAAAGCCGTACAGCCATTACAGTGAGACACTAAATGCAGTTTCGACTAAGAGACCAGTGCTGCGAAGGTCTCTTAGTCAGGCGTGGGATTTGGCTTTTATGTGGTGTTCTTTCGAGCCTGTTGAACATCACCAATCAATGCCTTTTCAGCTGTTGTTGGCCTTGCTGTCAACATGTCTACTCTGGGGATGGCGGCGCGAAGCAGGAGTTTTTGCACTAGCATGGGGGGGCCTCTTTCGTATTGGGGAGATCCTCTCAGCTACCAGGGCAGACCTTGTTTTTCCTCATGACGTAATGCATAGCATAGACCACATTTTGCTGAAAGTCAGAGAGCCAAAGACAAGATTTCGTGCAGCGAGGCACCAATCAGGAAAGGTTGAGGCGCCTGACCTGATCGAAACTTGTTGGCTTGGCCTTGGTGACCTTAGAAAGGATGAGAAACTTTGGCCTGGCTCATCATCTACTCTGAGGTCGCGCCTTGACAAGGTCATGTCAAGACTTGGCCTTCCGACTACGACAAAGAGCAAAGTCAAACCAATGACGCTTTCAAGTTTCAGACCTGGAGGAGCGACTCACTTGATAGCACTGACCGAATCTGCTGAGACAGTACGAAGAAGGGGCAGGTGGGCTTCCATGAAGGTGATGGAAGTATATCTTCAAGAGGTGTCCACCAGCACTTACCTCAACGATATCGAAGAAGAGTCAAAGCAGAAAGTGCTCCAAGCGATGAGTGTTTTCCCAGAAGTTTTGAAGCTGGCAAATGCCTTTTCCCAATGGCAGTACCCTGAACCGACGTGGAATTGGTTCTTCCAGCATGGGCATAAAGCAAGGCACAGTACTCGTGGGGGTAAGTGGACATGTAAAGTTTGGTCAAGCCAGCACGATCACTAAACCAGAGAAGCAGGACAAAAGGATGGAGTGCCGCTGAAACTTAGCAGCATGACTGACCATTTCCTGTCTTCCTCTCAAGCTGGCCCACCGCCATCCCCATATTCACCTCCACTGCTTTGCCCATGCTGGTTCTCTTTTTCTATGTGCTGGACATGTAAAGTTTGGTGTAAAGTTTGGTCAGGACATGTAAAGTTTGGTCAAGCCAGCACGATCACTAAACCAGAGAAGCAGGACAAAAGGATGGAGTGCCGCTGACTCATGTTGATAGTCTCAACCATTGACTCATGTTGATAATCTCAACAAACTAAGCAACTGTGCTAAATTTCTTGTTTCTTTGTCGTTGTGTCATCATGTGAGGAGCATCGCATCTAAGCGATTGGTGGCTGGGGCGCCTTGATTGGTGCACATGCATGGAGGCAGCCAAGCAATTCATTGCACTGTTCCCAGAGACACAAGCGTGGCACGTCAGTGTTCTCACAGCCGAGAAGCGAGCGGTGGTGCACCAGCCTTCGATCGCAACCTCTACCCTTTTGAAGCACCTTAAGGCATGGATGGATCTTCAAGGAGTCCACGTGTTCATCCGACCGCTGCTGAATACATTGATTTTCTTAGATCTCGACCGTTTTGCTGGCAGCTTTGAGCAACTCGTGGCTCTCCAACCCAGATGCATCACGAGTACTTCTCCACGGAACTACCAGTTTTGGGCCACTTTGCCACCGCCGATGCAGGTGAAAACCGCTTCCTTTATTACCAAGGAGTTACAGCGATTATTTCAATCCGATCCACACTCCACTGCTCCACAGCAGCAAGGACGTTTGCCGGGTAGCATGAATGTGAAGCCGGACAAGATGTGCAGGACAACCATCCTGCATCAGAGCCACGACCATCTCTCTGAGGAAATGTTTTTACAACTGACACCGCGACGCTCTTTGGTTTTGGTTGGTGACAGTGTGGCGCCTGTGGAACACAAACCAGCCACCAGCATGGTGGACCGAAGCAAGGAGGATTGGAAGACTTGTTGCCAGTGGTTCGAATCAAATCCTGATTCAAGTCTTGACACTGCCTTGGCCAATGTCAATTTCTTGGCAAACAGACCGAACATGAACTATTACAAAGAGATCACGCTCACAAAGGCACGTGAGCATGTACGGAAGCAAGTAGCTGACCGACTCCCTGCAGAACCAGCTTCTTGCTCAGTGCCGAGCGCACCGCGTGAATCTCTGCCAGTAGGCATTGACGCGGATGGACTTGCTCGCATGGTGCAAATGTGTGTCGACAAGGCCTTGGACAAGCGTTTGCCTGGACCGGTTAGCCAGGACTTTGCAATTGGTGGGACAGAGGGTCGTCCATTCTTCTGTTGACCAACTGGATGTCATACATACAACAAATAAAAGAATCAGTAAACAGATATATTACCAGGTATGCATAGTGTATTTACTCGCTATCTGTAATTTAAGAAAGCTCGTGAGTATATATTGTATAGACAGATATCTAACATAAAGACGTACGAAAAAACAAAAAAACATACATATTCCCCTCGATAGCTCCGAATATATATATATATATCTTTATATATATGGTACAGAGATATATATATATATTAATAAATGGGTATATATATATATATTGTATAGGTCACACTAACATATCTTCCAACTGCTTAGCTACATCCACATAGGGGGTAACGTTTCGGTGAAGCTTCCGATGCTCAGGTTGTCCTTGGGGGTGGCAGTCAACCCCCGGGCGCTGGAGTGTGCCTTGGAGGTCGTCCTTGGGGGTGGCGGTTAACCCCCAGGCGTTGGAGTGTGCCCCGGTTTTTTTTCTCCTAGATGCATATATTTCATTGATTTAATTTAGATGGGTACATAGATACCAAGAGAAACATAATACACAATTTCCAATATCTGTTCATAATAAATGACATCTGTATAGTTGCTACCGTACATTTTCACAAAGCATCGAACATACATACATACATATATGTATATATATATATAGAGAGAGCTATGGGTTTATGTTTTCACATACATCGTGCCAAAATACTTTTCCTGACGCAACAGGCAAATAATCCCTGCTGCGGTGAGGACAAAAAGATTTGCAAAGTATGCCAACGTGAGTATGGTAAAGACGGCTTTTCCACAGTGCAGTATCGCACGGCAGAGCCAACCTGTCTGCAATGTGCCCCCATTGATGAACGCTTGCGGAAGCGCTTGAAAGCCACAAAGGTCTGCGCGGCCTGTGGGGAGGACAAGCCCAAAGCAGATTTCTCCACCAGCCAATGGAATAAGGGAATTGCCAGCAAGTGTGATCGATGCGTTGTTGCTTCTTCGGTGCAAGCCAAGCAGTTGACGTGCAAGTGTAGTGCATGCGGTCAGACAAAGTGCAAGGACCAATTTAGCAACACCCAGTGGAACAACAACAAGAAGCAACAAGTGTATGGATTGCTGCAAAGATGCCGAGAAAAACAGACAAAGGGCGTTTGCGCAGACCAGAACTTCGGATGTGCAGGAACAGCACGACAGCCTTCCTCGAACCTTGTGGGAAACTCACGATGTCTCGGAGGCTCGGAGGTGGCTGCTTGAAGCCCCGCTGGAAGCTTTGCCTTCGACTGACCTCAAGAGCCAGCAGGCCATGCATGCTGTAAAGTCAACGGCGGAGTGGTGGAACAAAACTATGCAGGCAGATATCGGCTCCTTGACTGTGGCTGACAAAGTCCAATGGGTCCAAGCTGTTCATGAAGATCTTGCCCATCTGGGTGGCCGGGATGCCGCCGTCACAGCCATCAAGCAAGCTGGCACTTCGTGGCCTAACATGGCGCTAGATGCGGCATGGATTCTTCGTCGCTGCAAGCACTGTCTTGGCTCCACAACGAAGGGCACGATCAGGCAACTCTACAAATTGCACTTGTCTTTTCGTTTTAGATCCACAGCAGCTCACCGTTGTTTTTGGTATTATGTATATAGATACATATCAACGTATATAGATACATGTTGAATACCATACCGACATACCACAGAGAGTTCTATTCCCGACCTCCTTTGCTGCAAGCCAGTCCCGAGTCATTTGCCCCGCCCGCTCCGAGCGGGAGATGTTGTTGGCGTCGACTTGAAGCTGATGATTCCGCCTCGAGGCCCTCGTTGGTGCCTCTTGCTTCTGGTTGACTTCACTTCCAACCGGCTTTGGGCGTGGGATTTAGGTGAAGACAAGACACTTGTACGGATTGGGGAGTTGGAGCTTTTTTTTTTTGAAGTCTCTTGCGTGACCCCATCAACGGACTTCAAAATAGCCAAGCTTCCTAGAAACGATTCAGCTATATCCATGAACCACTTCTCTTATCCTTTGCAGGAAAGCACTTCCTGATGTGCAAGACCGGCTGCTTCGTTGGTACTCAGAAGTACAGGTGCCAAAAGTTTGCTCGGATAATGGCGGACAGTTCAAGTCCGTGATATGTGAAGCTCTCAAAAAAACATTGGACATTTCACCGCATTTTATTCCTCCTGGACATCCGCAATCTAACGGATTGGTGGAAGCGTTTCTTGCTTGTACGTTTTTTCGCGTAAATTTTCCAGGTTCAGAGTTCCTACCTGTTGCTTTTAGGTCAAGTTGTTGTCGGCCGCTTCTAATTGCATTGTTGGGCAGTCCTACCATTTGTAGGCCGCACATTTATGGAATCTTTTCACCGAGGTTTAACAAAGTGGTGGAATTTTCGAGCGGAGGCCAGCGGGATCGCCTCATGCACAGTGTCTCATCTTACAACAATTTACCACGCAGGCCTCTGAGCGTTTCGCCAGAGACAGTCTGGCGAGCGTGCCGACCCCTTGACACGCACGGGAACCATCCTGCGCTGAAACATGCCTTGCAAGAGCAGCGTGGCCAGGTGACTGAAGCGGAATGGACTAGCTTCCTCACTGCATCCGCTGCTCTCACGTCCGATGACATTCTCAAAGCTGTGCAGCAATTCGAGGCGGAGATGGCTTCTGTGCAGGACGCAGACATGTTTTGGGGCCACTGGCGGCCGTATGTTCTAATTCCATTTCTGATCCATAGCATCTGTCTACAGTAATACGAAGATTCCGTGTATGTCTGATATTCCTTTTTTCATATCGTTAAATTTCTGCCCGCCACTACTTCAGGAGTTGGTGCATGATCAGCAAATGCGCACGCAGATGAAAGACAGACCCAAGAAGAGCCAGCAGGCTACGACTTCGAACCCCGTCCCGCTGCTGCCAGGTGACAGAGTGCTTTGCAGACAGACCCAATACAAGTCCACCACAGGACATGGAAAATTTCAGTGTTCTGGCGGAGAATTGCAAGAGTTCACGGTGGTCTCCATGTCCGGTGGTCTGGCCAAACTACAAGATGCAGTTGGCCATATCACGCTTGACTTGTGCACGAATCGTTGCTCAAAGTGCTTCCGAGAGTGCAGCCGCCAACAGATGAGCCAGAGTGTTTGCCTTCACCTGCAGCAAAAAAACAACTTGCTGCAATGCAGACGCTGTGCCAGTTCTACCTACTGCCAGCTCAGCCACACGGAGCGTGCTTGTTCAGATCTTACGCCATGGGGCGTCAACATGTGGCAGGCGTGGCGCCTCATATGATCACTGACAATACACAGCAAGCCTTGGAGTTGCGGCAGCAGTTGTGTCACTATAGCGAATTGCTGGTGCAAGGCATGACCTCCGAGGAACAGGAGAAAGCAAAGAACTTGCTCGTGGTTGAGCTCCTCGATGACCCGTTCTGGAAAGAAAAGGGGTGTGAGTTCTCTTGGCCCAAGTACCACGAATATCTGAAGGAATCAAAAACTACGGCAGGCCATTACTGTATCATGCTGTTCGCGAAAATGGAAAGAACTTGTCTCAAAGTGTGGCAACAAAACAAGAAAGGCCACCCGGTGCTGCAGTGGACCGAAGAATCGGAAGGCAGCAGCTGTATGAATCTCCTCCGAAGTGGCGCTCACTTCGACCTACTCGTGCCTGTGTAAAAAAAAAGAAGCAACATTCAGCTTTTTGCAGAGCTTGTGAATAAGAACCAAGGTGGCCTAAGGTAAGTTCAATAACACTAGACATCTCCTGTGGACCACATTGGGAAAGGTTTCTTACCTTTTGATTTGGAATACGAATACACACTGTGAAGAACCGTGACCCCAGAGGTGTCAGAGACGGCATGCAGGGGGGGGATACATATGTATCTAAATATATATATATACACGTATATACACATATATGTCCCTCATGTGTATATACATATATAAATACATATATAAATATATACATATATACATATATAAATATATACATATATAAATATATACATATATACATATATACATATACATATATGTATATACACATGAAAACATATATGTGTATATATATATATATTTAGATACATATGTATCCCCCCCCTGCATGCCGTCTCTGACACCTCTGGGGTCACGGTTCTTCACAGTGTGTATTCGTATTCCAAATCAAAAGGTAAGAAACCTTTCCCAATGTGGTCCACAGGAGATGTCTAGTTTTATTGAGCTTACCTTAGGCCACCTTGGTTCTTATTCACAAGCTCTGCAAAAAGCTGAATGTTGCTTCTTTTTTTTTACACAGGCACGAGTAGGTCGAAGTGAGCGCCACTTCGGAGGAGATTCATACAGCTGCTGCCTTCCGATTCTTCGGTCCACTGCAGCACCGGGTGGCCTTTCTTGTTTTGTTGCCACACTTTGAGACAAGTTCTTTCCATTTTCGCGAACAGCATGATACAGTAATGGCCTGCCGTAGTTTTTGATTCCTTCAGATATTCGTGGTACTTGGGCCAAGAGAACTCACACCCCTTTTCTTTCCAGAACGGGTCATCGAGGAGCTCAACCACGAGCAAGTTCTTTGCTTTCTCCTGTTCCTCGGAGGTCATGCCTTGCACCAGCAATTCGCTATAGTGACACAACTGCTGCCGCAACTCCAAGGCTTGCTGTGTATTGTCAGTGATCATATGAGGCGCCACGCCTGCCACATGTTGACGCCCCATGGCGTAAGATCTGAACAAGCACGCTCCGTGTGGCTGAGCTGGCAGTAGGTAGAACTGGCCCAGCGTCTGCATTGCAGCAAGTTGTTTTTTTGCTGCAGGTGAAGGCAAACACTCTGGCTCATCTGTTGGCGGCTGCACTCTCGGAAGCACTTTGAGCAACGATTCTTGCACAAGTCAAGCGTGGTATGGCCAACTGCATCTTGTAGTTTGGCCAGACCACCGGACATGGAGACCACCGTGAACTCTTGAAATTTTCCATGTCCTGTGGTGGACTTGTATTGGGTCTGTCTGCAAAGCACTCTGTCACCTGGCAGCAGCGGGACGGGGTTCGAAGTCGTAGCCTGCTGGCTCTTCTTGAGTCTGTCTTTCATCTGCGTGCGCATTTGCTGATCATGCACCAACTCCTGAAGTAGTGGCGGGCAGAAATTTAACGATATGAAAAAAGGAATATCAGACATACACGGAATCTTCGTATTACTGTAGACAGATGCTATGGATCAGAAATGGAATTAGAACATACGGCTGCCAGTGGCCCCAACACATGTCTGCGTCCTGCACAGAAGCCATCTCTGCCTCGAATTGCTGCACAGCTTTGAGAATGTCATCGGACGTGAGAGCAGCGGACGCAGTGAGGAAGCTAGTCCATTCCGCTTCAGTCACCTGGCCACGCTGCTCTTGCAAGGCATGTTTCAGCGCAGGATGGTTCCCGTGCGTGTCAAGGGGTCGGCACGCTCGCCAGACTGTCTCTGGCGAAACGCTCAGAGGCCTGCGTGGTAAATTGTTGTAAGATGAGACACTGTGCATGAGGCGATCCCGCTGGCCTCCGCTCGAAAATTCCACCACTTTGTTAAACCTCGGTGAAAAGATTCCATAAATGTGCGGCCTACAAATGGTAGGACTGCCCAACAATGCAATTAGAAGCGGCCGACAACAACTTGACCTAAAAGCAACAGGTAGGAACTCTGAACCTGGAAAATTTACGCGAAAAAACGTACAAGCAAGAAACGCTTCCACCAATCCGTTAGATTGCGGATGTCCAGGAGGAATAAAATGCGGTGAAATGTCCAATGTTTTTTTGAGAGCTTCACATATCACGGACTTGAACTGTCCGCCATTATCCGAGCAAACTTTTGGCACCTGTACTTCTGAGTACCAACGAAGCAGCCGGTCTTGCACATCAGGAAGTGCTTTCCTGCAAAGGATAAGAGAACTGGTTCATGGATATAGCTGAGTGGTTTCTAGGAAGGTTGGCTATTTTTAAGTCCGTTGATGGGGTCACGCAAGAGACTTCAAAAAAAAAAGCTCCAACTCCCAATCCGTACAAGTGTCTTGTCTTCATCTAAATCCCACGCCCAAAGCCGGTTGGAAGTGAAGTCAACCAGAAGCAAGAGGCACCAACGAGGGCCTCGATGCAGAATCATCGGCTTCAAGTCGACGCCAACAACATCTCCCGCTCGGAGCGGGCGGGGCAAATGACTCGGGACTGGCCTGCAGCAAAGGAGATCGGGAATAGAACTCTCTGTGGTATGTCGGTATGGTATTCAACATGTATCTATATACATTGATATGTATCTATATACATAATACCAAAAACCACGGTGAGCTGCTGTGGATCTAAAACGAAAAGACAATTGCAATTTGTAGAGTTGCCTGATCGTGCCCTTCGTTGTGGAGCCAAGACAGTGCTTGCAGCGACGAAGAATCCATGCCGCATCTAGCGCCATGTTAGGCCACGAAGTGCCAGCTTGCTTGATGGCTGTGACGGCGGCATCCCGGCCACCCAGATGGGCAAGATCTTCATGAACAGCTTGGACCAATTAGACTTTGTCAGCCACAGTCAAGGAGCCGCTATCTGCCTGCATAGTTTTGTTCCACCACTCCGCCGTTGACTTTACAGCATGCATGGCCTGATGGCTCTTGAGCTTCAAGCAGCCACCTCCGAGCCTCCGAGACATCGTGAGTTTCCCACAAGGTTCGAGGAAGGCTGTCGTGCTGTTCCTGCACATCCGAAGTTCTGGTCTGCGCAAACGCCCTTTGTCTGTTTTTCTCGGCATCTTTGCAGCAATCCATACATTTGCTTCCTTGCTTCTTGTTGTTGTTCCACTGGGTGTTGCCAAATTGGTCCTTGCACTTTGTCTGACCGCATGCACTACACTTGCGCGTCAACTGCTTGGCTTGCACCGAAGAAGCAACAACGCATCGATCACACTTGCTGGCAATTCCCTTATTCCATTGGCTGGTGGAGAAATCTGCTTTGGGCTTGTCCTCCCCACAGGCCGCGCAGACCTTTGTGGCTTTCCAGCGCTTCCGCAAGCGTTCATCAATGGGGGCACATTGCAGACAGGTTGGCTCTGGCGTGCGATACTGCACTGTGGAAAAGCTGTCTTTACCATACTCACGTTGGCATACTTTGCAAATCTTTTTGTCCTCGCCGCAGCAGGGATTATTTGCCTGTTGCGTCAGGAAAAGTATTTTGGCACGATGTATGTGAAAACATAGAAACCCATAGCTCTCTCTCTCTCTATATGTATGTATGTTCGATGCTTAGTGAAAATGTACGATAGCAACTATACAGATGTCATGTATTATGAACAGATATTGGAAATTGTGTATTATGTTTCTCTTGGTATCTATGTACCCATCTAAATTATTGTAAATGAAGTAAATATATGTATCTAGGAGTAAAAAAAACAGGGGCACACTCCAACGCCTGGGGGTTAACCGCCACCCCCAAGGACGACCTCCAAGGCACACTCCAGCGCCTGGGGGTTGACCGCCACCCCCAGGGACAACCTGAGCATCGGAAGCTTCACCCAAACGTTACCCCCTATGTGGATGTAGCTAAGCAGTTGGAAGATATGTTAGTGTGACCTATACCATATATAAATATGTACTATTTTATGTATATCTATATATATATATATCTGTACCATATATATATATATATATATATACATAAAGATGTATATGTATATATTCGGAGCTATCGAGGGAAATATGTATGTTTTTTTTTTGTTTTTTCGTACGTCTTTATGTTCGATATCTGTCTATACAATATATATATATATTCACGAGCTTTCTTAAATTACAGATAGCGAGTAAATACACTATGCATACCCGGTAATATATCTGTTTACTGATTCTTTTATTTGTTGTATGTATGACATCCAGTTGGTCAACAGAAGAATGGACGACCCTCTGTCCCACCAATTGCAAAGTCCTGGCTAACCGGTCCAGGCAAACGCTTGTCCAAGGCCTTGTCAACACACATTTGCACCATGCGAGCAAGTCCATCCGCGTCAATGCCTACTGGCAGAGATTCACGCGGTGCGCTCGGCACTGAGCAAGAAGCTGGTTCTGCAGGGAGTCGGTCAGCTACTTGCTTCCGTACATGCTCACGTGCCTTTGTGAGCGTGATCTCTTTGTAATAGTTCATGTTCGGTCTGTTTGCCAAGAAATTGACATTGGCCAAGGCAGTGTCGAGACTTGAATCAGGATTTGATTCGAACCACTGACAACCAGTCTTCCAATCCTCCTTGCTTCGGTCCACCATGCTGGTGGCTGGTTTGTGTTCCACAGGCGCCACACTGTCACCAACCAAAACCAAAGAGCGTCGCGGTGTCAGTTGTAAAAACATTTCCTCAGAGAGATGGTCGTGGCTCTGATGCAGGATGATTGTCCTGCACATCTTGTCCGGCTTCACATTCATGCTACCCGGCAAACGTCCTTGCTGCTGTGGAGCAGTGGAGTGTGGATCGGATTGAAATAATCGCTGTAACTCCTTGGTAATAAAGGAAGCGGTTTTCACCTGCATCGGCGGTGGCAAAGTGGCCCAAAACTGGTAGTTCCGTGGAGAAGTACTCGTGATGCATCTGGGTTGGAGAGCCACGAGTTGCTCAAAGCTGCCAGCAAAACGGTCGAGATCTAAGAAAATCAATGTATTCAGCAGCGGTCGGATGAACACGTGGACTCCTTGAAGATCCATCCATGCCTTAAGGTGCTTCAAAAGGGTAGAGGTTGCGATCGAAGGCTTGTGCACCACCGCTCGCTTCTCGGCTGTGAGAACACTGACGTGCCACGCTTGTGTCTCTGGGAACAGTGCAACGAACATGTGCACCAATCAAGGCGCCCCAGCCACCAATCGCTTAGATGCGATGCTCCTCACATGATGACACAACGACAAAGAAACAAGAAATTTAGCACAGTTGCTTAGTTTGTTGAGATTATCAACATGAGTCAATGGTTGAGATTATCAACATGAGTCAATGGCGATGATTCGAATGGTGATTTCTCCTTGTCATCGGTGATCTTCATGGCTGACCATGCAACACCATTGTATTGCTGCACGGTGCCACATCAGGCAACTTTCATGAGTGAAGGCTGCGGATTCAGCGAGTTCAGAGACAAAAAACAAAGCGCAACAATGCACAGCAACTGGAGAATGTAGGTCTATGGCATGTTTGATGTATAAATATATAGTAACTGCCTGCACCCCCCCAATACATACATACCACAGAAACAAAGAAACAAACAAGCAAGCAAACAAGCAAACATACATACATACATACATGCATGCATACATACGTACATAAATACATAAATACATACATACATACATTGCATTACATTACCTTACCTTACCTTACAATACATTACATGACATTACATGACATTACATTACATAACATGACATTACATTACAATCCATACATACATACATACATAACTTAACTTACCTTACTTTACATTAGATGACATTACATGACATTACATGACATACATACCAACATTAATGCGTACATACATACATACATACATACGTACGTACCTACATACCTACATACATACATACATACATACATACATACATGCCTATACCTACCAACCTACGTAGGTACATACATACTACACCCAACCCACCCCACAGGGGGGGGCGGGGAAGCAGAGGTACCTTGCATGATAGTTGGATTCCAGGGAGGTAGTACGCCCAACAGAAACAAAGAAACAAACAAGCAAGCAAGCAAGCAAGCAAACATACATGCATACATACATGCATGCATACATACATACATACATACGTACATAAATACATAAATGCATACATACATACATTACATTACCTTACATAAATGCATACATACATACATTACATGACATTACATTACATGACATTACATTGCATTACATACATACATATCTTAACTTACCTTACCTTACATTACATTACATGACATTACATGACATTACATGACATTACATGACATTACATGACATTACATGACATTACATGACATTACATGACATTACATGACATTACATGACATTACATGATATTACATGATATTACATGACATTACATGACATTTACATCACATTACGTCACATTACATGACATTACATGACATTACATGACATTACATGACATTACATGACATTACATGACATTACATGACATTACATGACATTACATGACATTACATGACATGACATGACATGACATTACATGACAGTACATGACAGTACATGACATTACATGACATTACATGACATTACATGACATTACATGACATTACATGACATTACATGACATTACATGACATTACATGACATTACATGACATTACATGACATTACATGACATGACATGACATTACATGACATTACATACATACATACATACTTACATACTTACGTACGTACGTACGTACGTACATACATACATACATACATGCCTATACCTACCAACCTACGTAGGTACATACATACTACACCCACCCCACCCCACAGGGGGGGGCGGGGAAGCAGAGGTACCTTGCATGATAGTTGGATTCCAGGGAGGTAGTACACCCAATCCTAGGAACCATCCCCATCGCGGGGGGAGGGGGTGGGGGGTTGCAGGCGTGTACCATATATATATTTATTATACTATTTGCAAATTACGTGCCTCTCTCTCTCTCCCCCTTGTATGTATCAAGAATTCCCACATCCACCCAGATGTTTCTACACGCTGCAGGAGTGGCTCGACGCTCATCCCGTAGACTCTCCCGAATCGGCAGAGGCAACGGCCGAGTGAAAAAGAAATGGCACACCTCTGGTGGAGGGCTGAGCAGTGGAAATGGCATCAGAACTATATCCACTGGGTACCTTGGGGGCCTTGGGTATCTTAAGGCTCCAATGGAAGGTCTTTTTGATGTAGTAACGAGGCGCCAATATTATGGCCGAGATCAGGTGGGAATCAACTGGATATTAATCAACTGGGCAGTGGGCACCCCCAAAGTCAAGAATCACTCATTATTGGTTCAGTTTCAGGTTCATCCCAGACTCCTTTGCCTCAGGGCATGCTCGAAGCATCTACGACCTCCACGGCTGTCGTTGGGCTCCAGCTTGGATTGCGTCATTATTTGCGCAGCTAGGGGCTTTAGCCTTGGAATTAAACAGCGGAGTTGATGAGCCTGCAATTTTCAACTGTTCCATGGTACGCCACGTCTAGACCGTTGGGAAGCAGCTCACAGACCCAAAGCAGAGATTCAATCAAGCAGCCAGTTTACAAGTGGTGAAATGCACACAGCATTTGGCCACATCAGCACTCACCGGGATAAGCCAGGAAATTTTAAAATGTTGCTGTGGGTGCTTCTATCCGCAAATATTGATTTCCCGGCAAAGTGAGTTACATGTGGCTTTCGTTACCAGCCAATTTCCTCACCATGTCCCAACTGGAGAGAGAGAGAGATCTGAGATCATTCGTGTGAGCAGTGCCCCAATGGCTGCTTATAGAGGGTTGTAGTGCCTGCTTTAGCGGATTCTGAACCCAATATGGCAACCAATATCAAGCAGCCAGAAGCTCTACGGATGACAGAAAGGGAAACTGGGCAGACGTCAAAGTCCCAAAGACAAAGCTGGAAAAGCACAGCCCACCAGAATATGCAAGATAGAGTAACATCCCAGTGAAACTAGAGGTAGTTGACTACTTTTATATAACTACCGTTAACTACCTTCTTTTTGTTGGGGGAAAACAAATTCTGCAGGTTGTTCTCCAACCGTTGGACGTGCCCATGCCGCATGGTGCCATGGCACTTCCTGCTTTGGTCCCCGGCCGCGACTGGCGGCGCTGCGGTCACTGGAGTGGCCTCTGCCGCGCCGCAAGCCTTTTGGGACTGGCTCCTTGGGGAACAGTGGAGAGGGTCAGAAGGTGCAGATTTTCAGGTCATTTTTTGGTGAGTTAAATCAATCCTTGTCAAGTCATGCTTAGACACCTTGGATGTTGGGGCCCAGCTAGGCTGGTCAAATGTAGAATCATGAGCCCCAGACGGGCCGATTGGGTGGACCGAAAAGGGTCCGAGAATCAGGGGAGAATCAGTGAAATTTGCAGTGTTGTTTTGTTTCCCTCCTGCTCTTGAGGGAAGATGAAGAAATGCAGGTCCGATCCCGTTTCGGGTAACTTCTTCCTCCAAGGTTGGTGGAGGAAGGTGTTTTGGACCGGGACTACCTGGCCTGGGTGAACTGCGAAGGCCCACAGAGCCCATGGAGCCAGTTCCGCACCATGTTGGCGACCTGGTGAAGGGTGAAAGGGCAGGGAATGATGGGTGGACCACGGAAGCCCTAGCATCTGCGGTGGGTCAGTCGATGGCTGGTGATTTGGGCTGGTAATTGGGCATCAGCAACCTTCTCTGAAAGGTGTTGTCACTACAGTGCACATTAGGATCCCAAGACAAAAGCCCACGCATGCCCAAACCATCATCGGAATGGCTGATGCAATGTCTACTTCAGATCTTCAGATTACACCGTTTCGATGAGGATGAGTCTTCTGCAATTTGGGCCACCCTGAGATTTCCCATGGGTTTCTCCCCCCAAAAGTGGTATACCCTGTGAATTCAGGGGAAGTTCCCAACCACATTTTCAGCCAAACAAATCCCCACAGGGTCCTGAAAATCGTAGCAGTTGCTAGGTGAAGCATTTGGAGGACGGCCGCTGGAACTATGGACAGCCCGAAGCCTGGATTTCGGAGCCAAGTCACTGGCAGCTGGTGAAGGAAGCTGAGATGTTGACGGAACTGTGGAAGCAACGGGATCTCAAGGTGCGGGGTATTTGCTTCTGGCTATAGATAGAACATGAATGAAAATGATGGAAAGATACCCTCTGGTGAACTAGCATAGCTATTGAAAATGGCCATTTATAGTGGATTTACCCATTAAAAATGGTGAATCTTTCCATAGTTTTTTGTATGTTTACCAGAGACATAGATAGATAGACAGATACAGTCCCAGGAAAACCCCCCAGAACTGGACATGACTATGCCAGCCGACTAATTTTTTGTGTCCCCTCAGGCGCGCCGTTTTTTTCGCCTTGTGTCAGGCGCAGGTGGAGAATATCTCCTTAGAAGAACACCTGGCTGTGCCCAAGAGAACCTCCTTGAAAGAGCCAGCTGCTGTGGTGCGGGGCGACCTGGTGGCGTGGATCATTCAGGACAGGATGCGGCCTTCCAACTCCTTTTCATCTGCATTTGATGTAGGGGTTGTGGCCTGTAGGTCGGAAACATAGAGCTCTTTGTGACTCTTTTCATCTGCCTTTGATTGAGGGTTGTGGCCTGTCGGTCGGCCACATAGAGCTCTTTGTGACTCTTTTAATCTGCCTTTGATTGAGGGTTGTGGCCTGTAGGACTGTAAGTCGGCAACATAAAGCTCTTTGTGACTCTTTTCATCTGCATTTGATGTAGGGGTTGTGGCCTGTAGGTCGGCAACATAGAGCTCTTTGTGACTCTTTTAATCTGCCTTTGATTGAGGGTTGTGGCCTGTAGGTCGGCAACATAGAGCTCTTTGTGTCTCTTTTCATCTGCATTTGATGTAGGGGTTGTGGCCTGTAGGTCGGAAACATAGAGCTCTTTGTGACTCTTTTCATCTGCATTTAATGTAGGGGTTGTGGCCTGTAGGTCGGCCACATAGAACTCTTTGTGACTCTTTTAATCTGCCTTTGATTGAGGGTTGTGGCCTGTAGGACTGTAGGTCGGCAACATGAAGCTCTTTGTGACTCTTTTCATCTGCATTTGATGTAGGGGTTGTGGCCTGTAGGTCGGAAACATAGAGCTCTTTGTGACTCTTTTAATCTGCCTTTGATTGAGGGTTTTGGCCTGTACTTCGGCAACATAGAGCTCTTTGTGTCTCTTTTCATCTGCATTCTGGCCTGTAGGTCGGCAACATAGAGCTCTTTGTGTCTCTTTCATCTGCATTTGATGTAGGGGTTGTGGCCTGTAGGTCGGCAACATAGAGCTCTTTGTGTCTCTTTTCATCTGCATTTGATGTAGGGGTTGTGGCCTGTAGGTCGGAAACATAGAGCTCTTTGTGACTCTTTTAATCTGCCTTTGATTGAGGGTTGTGGCCTGTAGGTCGGCAACATAAAGCTCTTTGTGACTCTTTTCATCTGCATTTGATGTAGGGGTTGTGGCCTGTAGGTCGGAAACATAGAGCTCTTTGTGACTCTTTTAATCTGCCTTTGATTGAGGGTTGTGGCCTGTAGGTCGGCAACATAGAGCTCTTTGTGTCTCTTTTCATCTGCATTTGATGTAGGGGTTGTGGCCTGTAGGTCGGAAACATAGAGCTCTTTGTGACTCTTTTAATCTGCCTTTGATTGAGGGTTGTGGCCTGTAGGACTGTAGGTCGGCAACATAAAGCTCTTTGTTACTCTTTTCATCTGCATTTGATGGGGGGATTGTGGCCTGTAGGTCGGCCATATAGAGCTCTTTGTGACTCTTTTCATCTGCATTTAATGTAGGGGTTGTGGCCTGTAGGACTGTAGGTCGGCAACATAAAGCTCTTTGTGACTCTTTTCATCTGCATTTGATGGGGGGATTGTGGCCTGTAGGTCGGCAACATAGAGCTCTTTGTGTCTCTTTTCATCTGCATTTGATGTAGGGGTTGTGGCCTGTAGGTCGGCCACATAGAGCTCTTTGTGACTCTTTTCATCTGCATTTAATGTAGGGGTTGTGGCCTGTAGGTCGGAAACATAGAGCTCTTTGTGACTCTTTTCATCTGCCTTTGATTGAGGGGTGGCCTGTAGGACTGTAGGTCGGCAACATAAAGCTCTTTGTGACTCTTTTCATCTGCATTTGATGGGGGGGTTGTGGCCTGTAGGTCGGCCACATAGAGCTCTTTGTGACTCTTTTCATCTGCATTTAATGTAGGGGTTGTGGCCTGTAGGACTGTAGGTCGGCAACATAAAGCTCTTTGTGACTCTTTTCATCTGCATTTGATGGGGGGATTGTGGCCTGTAAGTCGGCCACATAGAGCTCTTTGTGACTCTTTTCATCTGCATTTAATGTAGGGGTTGTGGCCTGTAGGTCGGCCACATAGAGCTCTTGTGACTCTTTTCATCTGCATTTAATGTAGGGGTTGTGGCCTGTAGGTCGGCAACATAGAGCTCTTTGTGTCTCTTTTCATCTGCATTTAATGTAGGGTTGTGGCCTGTAGGTCGGCCACATAGAGCTCTTTGTGACTCTTTTCATCTGCATTTAATGTAGGGGTTGTGGCCTGTATGTCCGCCACATAGAGCTCTTGTGACTCTTTTCATCTGCATTTGATGGGGGGGTTGTGGCCTGTAGGTCGGCCACATAGAGCTCTTTGTGACTCTTTTCATCTGCATTTGATGGGGGGGTTGTGGTCTGTAGATCGGCACATACAGCTCTTTGTGACTCTTTTCATCTGCATTTGATGGGGGGGGTTGTGGCCTGTCGGTCGGCCACATAGAGCTCTTTGTGACTCTTTTAACCTGCCTTTGATTGAGGGTTGTGGCCTGTAGGACTAGGTCGGCAACATAAAGCTCTTGGTGACTCTTTTTATCTGCATTTGATGGGGGCGTTGTGGCCTGTAGATTGGCAACATACAGCTCTTTGTGACTCTTTTCATCTGCATTTGATGGGGGGATTGTGGCCTGTAGGTGTAGGTCGGCCACAAAGAGCTCTTTGTGACTCTTTTCATCTGCATTTAATGTAGGGGTTGTGGCCAGAGCTCTTTGTGAGTCTTTTCATCTGCATTTAATGTAGGGGTTGTGGCCTGTAGGTCGGCCACATAGAGCTCTTTGTGACTCTTTTCATCTGCATTTAATGTAGGGGTTGTGGCCTGTAGGTCGGCCACATAGACCTCTTTGTGACTCTTTTCATCCGCATTTAATGTAGGGGGTTGTGGCCTGTAGATCGGCAACATAGAGCTCTTTGCGACTCTTTTTATCTGCATTTGATGGGGGGGTTTTGGCCTGTAGATTGGCAACATACAGCTCTTTGTGACTCTTTTCATCTGCATTTGATGGGGGGGGTTGTGGCCTGTAGGTCGGCAACATACAGCTCTTTGTGACTCTGTATTTGATGGGGGGTTGTGGCCTGTAGGTCGGCAACATACAGCTCTTTGTGACTCTTTTCATCTGCATTTGATTGAGGGTTGTGGCCTCTAGGACTGTAGGTCGGCAACATAAAGCTCTTTGTGACCCTTTTCATCTGCATTTGATGGGGGCGTTGTGGCTTGTAGATCGGCAACATACAGCTTTGTGACTCTTTTCATCTGCATTTGATGGGGGGATTGTGGCCTGTAGGTCGGCCACATAGAGCTCTTTGTGACTCTTTTCATCTGCATTTAATGTAGGGGTTGTGGCCTGTAGGTCGGCCACATAGAGCTCTTTGTGACTCTTTTCATTTGCATTTAATGTAGGGGTTGTGGCCTGTAGGTCGGCCACATAGAGCTCTTTGTGACTCTCTTCATCGGCATTTAATGTAGGGGTTGTGGCCTGTAGGTCGGCCACATAGACCTCTTTGTGTCTCTTTTCATCTGCATTTAATGTAGGGGTTGTGGCCTGTAGGTCGGCCACATAGAGCTCTTTGTGACTCTTTTCATCTGAATTTAATGTAGGGGTTGTGGCCTGTAGGTCGGCCACATAGAGCTCTTTGTGACTCTTTTCATCTGCATTTGATGGGGGGGTTGTGGCCTGTAGGTCGGCAACATACAGCTCTTTGTGACTCTTTTCATCTGCATTTGATTGGGGGGGGTTGTGGCCTGTAGATCGGTAACATACAGCTCCCTGTGACTATTTTTATCTGCATTTGATGGGGGGGTTGTGGCCTGTAGGTCGGCAACATACAGCTCTTTGTGACTCTTTGTTGTGGCTTTTCATCTGCATTTGATTGAGGGTTGTGGCCTGTAGGACTGTAGGTCGGCAACATACGGGGGATTGTGGCCTGTAGTTTTCAACATACAGCTCTTTGTGACTCTTTTCATCTGCATTTGATGGGGGGATTGTGGCCTGTAGGTCGGTAACATACAGCTCTTTGTGACTCTTTTCGTCTGCATTTGATGGAGTGTTGCGGCCTGTAGGTCGGCAACATACAGCTCTTTGTGACTCTTTTCATCTGTATTTGAGGGGGGGTTGTGGCCTGTAGGTCGGCAACATACAGCTCTTTGTGAATCTCTTCATCTGTATTTGATGGGGGATTGTGGCCTGTAGGCAACATACAGCTCTTTGTGACTCTTTTCATCTGTATTTGATGGGGGAGTTGTGGCCTGTAGGTCGGCAACATACAGCTCTTTGTGACTCTTTTCATCTGCATATGATTGGGGGGTTGTGGCCTGTAGATCGGCAACATACAGCTCTTTGTGACTCTTTTCATCTGTATTTGATGGGGGGGTTGTGGCCTGTAGGTCGGCAACATACAGCTCTACCGATGAACACTTTTGTTTTCCCTCCCTTTCCTACAGAATCTATGTACTGTATATTATATTCTATAGATCTAGATCTATCATGATCTATTTTTATCTTATTTCCAGATCACACACACATTATGTATATATATATTATAAATGTAGAATTATATATTTATATTAATAATAATGATAATAATTATCGCCCGCCTCCTTGATGCGGTTCCGATGGATGGTGCAAGCCGCCTTCCGCTTTCGTTTCACGCCTCGCTGTAGCTGCGTGGCTCACACCTGCTGGGCCGAGTCACCCGCGCTGATGTGCGATGATTAAAAAAAAATAATGATAACAATAATTATATATATATATATTTATAATATATTTATATATATATATATTTATACATATGCATGCTATGCGTTCTTGGATCTGCCAGGATCACCTACACCACCTCAAGGCCCCTGGGGAGCCCTCGGAGTCCTTTGCTGGCAGCTGTCGCCTGGTATGACATGGCCATCATCATAATTTATGATTCTCATATGATGAATACGCTGGTTTCCTAAGTCATGGTGGTACCCCAAATCATCCAAGTTGTAAGATCATGACTTAGTATTGAAACCTTTGGTGACTTTGGGGATCCCATTTTAAGACTCCCCCTAAAGCCAGTGTAACGAAAAGAAGCACCACCCAATTATTTAGTGGTCGATTTTTGCATTTTTCGGATAGATTTTTCCCTAGGTACCGGTCTCCATTGGGCTAAAGAGATTCGGAACCCTGGGACTCCCTGGGATATGGGGCTTAGGCCTGCAGGGACTGGCTGCTGCATTATGTGTCTTTGGTCGAGCTCTTGACGTGCTGGGCCGCAGCAAGCGCTGGGACGATGACGCGGAGGACGTCCGAGAAGTGACGGGAAGGTTTAAAGGACAACCGCCATAGTTGGTGGGAAAAACACTCGTTTCCTGTAGATCCTACTGTAGATTCTACCGTAGATTCTAGATTTTCCCTTAAAATGAATCCATTGATCCGAGTTTGGGTGCCTCCAATTTTTTTAAACCATTTGAATGCTTCTGACTGTGTGCGGATGGGAGTTTCAAGAGTGGTGGCCGCTAAAAAGACAATTGGTTACATTCTCACGACGTGGGTTCCCGCTTGAAATGTTATGAGTTTCAGTAGAAGTGAACACCAAATAAGGAAACTGGTTTGCAGATATAGAACCACATGAAAATCACACACAGAAACTACCACCAAAAAACCGATGCCCCAAATGGTCGAAGTCTTTTCCGCACTGGAAGGGCCATGGCAATGCTTTGCAGGATGATGGTTTCCTCCTGTGGCGCATGGAGATGGGATTTCTGCTGGCTGGGATGCTGCTGGGGGAGGGCTTGAGCTTACTGGACCTCACGGCAGCACCGGGATGGCCTGGCCACCTGGCTTGATGGATGGAGATGGATGGAGAGGATGTAGGGGGTGTGGGCTTGCCATACGAATTTTCAAACGTTTCAGGTAGCAGGGTACTGTAGCAGATCATCGTAATCATCTTGGGTCTCCTTTAGTCTTTAGTGGTTCCCTCCCACCAGCAGCCACTGCAGGATTGAACACCCGCTTCGTTGAGCAACTGCTGCACCGTCCACTGACGGGTGGCGAGTTCGGCTTGAGCCCTGCGCGTGCCCGGCAGACCACCGTGCTGGCGGCTCCCAGGCGCACCGACGACCCACGTCCTGCACGGATGCCGGTGCTGGAGCGGTACCATGCGGCCACCGACCCCCAAGGGGTGACATCCTGGGGCAAGGTGGCGGGACAGAGAATGGCTATGCGAGGGCAGGTGTTGAGAATTGCCGACACCTTGCCACCTGGGCATCCATATCCTTGGAGGCAATTGGGCTTTCCTTATCAGGCTCCTGACTACCAGCAGGCAGCGCAGCCATTTCTGGCCCAATGGTCCAGGCGTGTCAGAATGCTTTCGCTCATCAGCAACCATGGTGCCTTGGATTTGGAGATCCCAGATCTGCTACTGACCCTATTCCCGCAGTGGTTTGAACCCCGTTTCCTCCTGGGTGGCAGCAACCGCGGCAAGATCTGTGAGAAGACCGAAGGTTCCGCCACGGTGGATGCCCTTTGTGCTGCTCACTGGCGCCGTGTGCCCCCGCGCCGCCGTCGCCGCTGGGAGAGCCGCGGGGTGCTGCGGAAATGGGGCAGTCGCTACAGCACCAAGCGGCGGCGGCACCTCTTTGAGGGGCGCGGCACCTTCCACCCACTCGACCCCAGGCTGCGTTTCTGGGATCAGGAGCCGACCAAGCAAGGCCTCCGGGTGGATCCCGATCTTATGACGGTCAGCAGCTGGGCAGATGCCATGTACCTGTCGCAACGCTTTCCGGAGGTACCCCTCATCATCTATTTCGGGCCACCTGTGATGCTGGTGGTGGGGGAGGATGTGGTGATGGGCAAGAAGGCCATTGTAGAAAAGCACTGGAAGGGGATAAGGGCTTTGACGCGGAAAGCGGCACCTCGGAAGCGTGAAGATTGGGTCATATTGACCTACAAATTACTGACAGAAAGGTGCTTTTCACATCTTTTCACCTTGCTTTTCGAGGGCTAGTGGCCGGTAAAGTTTCCTGCTGAGGTGCGGGGAGAGGTGTTCATCAGTGGAGAGTCGCTGTTCCGATGCGAGCAGTTCTTTTGGCAGACTGGAGTGGAAGTGCCATTCCTTCGGCCTATGTCCACCTGGGTGAACGCGACGTATCGTGGCGTCACTGATCTTATAGTGAAGAGCTTTGACCCAGCAGGAGATGAATTTCCATTTTGTTCAAAGGACATTTGAGATTCGTTTGATTTGTCCAAAACTTCTAGATTTACATGTCATTATTGTTTTTGGTCTTGAGCTAGGTCTCCTGGTATATGGGCAGTTGTCTGGGGCATTTCTTTGGGGTATTTCTGGGGTATAATATGGGGTATATCCGATATATCCCCAACATTCCCCAAGATATCCGAGTTTCAAGTGGTCGTGGGCCTCGCTTGCAAAGGATCCTAGTTGTAGGGATCATCTTGGTACGCCCCAGTGAGGTCTTTCTTTGCCGTAGAATCCAGCAATCTGAGCCATAATTCCACCCCCAAACATCCTCACAGAATCGTCCCAATATCTCACTGAAGATGACCATCCCAATGTCCAAACAGAGGTTTGGAAGATTAGATAATTTCCATTAATTTCCCATCTTTTGGTGACTTTAGCATTTTTGGCTTCCATTGTTCAACTCTGGCAGTAGTTGACCCCAAGATTTCTAGACGCCATACCTGAGCCGCTCGCTGCGAGGTATGTTCCGCAGAAGCGGCGCTTCGAGGGAGCAGAAGTCCTGGTGCACAACCGAGGACGGTTGAAGTACGAAAGCGCCTTTCTGGAGAGCTTGCGATGCTGGAGCTGCAGTGGGTAAGGGGAGTTGAAACATTGAATTTGTGGGTGAGTTGCACATACAGTAGCCAGTGGAAATGTGTCTTGTTTAGTAGTGAAAACTATTGGCCATAAATACGGCCCAGGGCCAATATTGTTGGACTGTAATGTGGTCGCCTCTAGTTGTTTGGTGGTTCTTTGGTTGTATGGCCCATGTTTCAGACTTTCCTAGGCTTCGAGTACAGCTCAAAGGATTGATCTAAGATAGGTCCTTGCGGAATGAAGGCCTTGAAGGGAAACTTGGATCTTGGTCGCCATATGTCGCCATGCATTTCCCAAGGGCCCCCACTGTTCTTCATCCCTCAGCTGAGGACTTATGGCAGGACCCAAGTTCCCCTACCGAGTAGTGCCGCAGGAGGGTCGCATCATTCCCTTTGAACAGCTGGCCACCTACCACGCCGCGCCTGAAACTGCAAGCAGTTTCTTTTAAAATAAGATGCTGATTTAATTAAAATCATTTTGAATTACTTTTCAACTTGGGGTTGGCTTGATTCAGTTTCTTGAATCCTTGATGTGTTTGACAATTCACGAAAGCTAGCTTCTGCTAGCTGAAGTCCCTCTCGCACTAGCAAGGTATTGGCAGGGGCTGGTATTGGCAGGGGCTGGTATTGCCAATCACATGAAACTTCATAGCCAACTAAACTATAGTTTTTTTGGAAGCAGTTTTGCCGTGGCATCGTCGCCATATCGTCGCAATCATCAGCATCAGCATCATCATCATCATCATCATCATCAGCATCATCAGACTGGCTTTCCAATTGGTATCTCCCAATTCCTCACACACCGCTCTTTTTTTTTCACCACACCTTCATCTCCCTTCACCTAGCTTTCGTCCATTACCCCTTGGCCTCAAATTGTTTCGGTGGTTTAGGGGGGTGGCCGGAACAGGTCGTCATCGTTCCCTGGTCGCCTGAGCTGTGCATGTTGCGGCACCTCTTTAAGATGCGCGTGCCGCTGGTGGTCCCTGAGCTGTCCCTGCTGCGGAATTTGGTGCATGTGGCCAACATGAGGCTGATGCCATACCCATACAACGCGTGCCTTGGCAGGGGATGGGCACCCCCCCCACTCCCCAAGTTTTGCCAATTTGAATGGTGAATATGTGAAAATGATGACATGTTGAGGTTGGAACATCCACGGGAACCGCCGTGTTTTCTTTTTTTGGAGTGCTCCTCAGCATGAGTCTGCAACGGCAACTGTTGGGATCCAGCACAATGGCGGAACTCATGAACCAAGGTTTCCTTTGGTGCTTGGCATTGTTCTTTCTTCCTCCTTCATTTAAACCAATGAAGTATATAATGAATTTCGGACCGTCACTTATGAAACCACTACCGATTGGCCCAGGTTTGATCCCCAGAGCAATCGCGCTTTCGTCGAGGGCATCCATCCCTTCGATCCTTTCCACGACACATCGCGGGCGCCCTCGGATGTGCGTGGGATGCAGGCGCGCGCCTATTGGGCGGAGTATTCCGAGCCGCCTGGCAGCAAGGTGGGACTGGTGGGACGGTGGTAAAGCGACATTCTCAAGCTGGACCCTGCCCACCAATCATGAGTCAATATAGCCTCCCGTAATCAAACGTGACAATGGACAAGCCCAATCCATGACAAATGGAGGTTTTAATGGGAAAGTGATTTGTTAATGGAGGATTTTCCATTGCCATGTTTGATTCCCAAAGGGTACACATATCAAATTATTCAAAATTTAGATATCCATATGCATTATTAGTTCGTTGACATGCTCAATTCGTTGTGTTGGTGCTTTATGTAGTTGTGCACCTGTAGTTACGTACTGTAGTTGTACCCTTTTGGTTGCACATGTTTTGGAGGTTACAGAAAAACCATCCGAATAGTGGTGTTCCACATGGGGGGTATGTATACATACAGTATACAGTATATACAGTTTATCCTCATTTTTTGGCACTGGACTGGTCCTGAAGTTATTAGCCGGGTCTGTGAGGTATGTGTTGCAGCTGGGATGTGCATCCAAGTGGGTATAACGTGGTATCACTCAAACTTCCCAACCCAAAATCGGATATTTTGAGGCTAAGCAATGATGGAACCCCCAATATTAGCCTCCTGCAAGGAAACACAAGGAAACATAGATGAGGAACACCCCAGCATTTGTGGATCATTTTCCGTGGCAACCGTGGCTTTTCCACATCTTTTTGTATCCCGAGATTATCAACCCACCATAGTTTTTGTTTTTTTTTGGCAAAAAACAATTGCGGAGGTCTCCATTGGTTGTGCCATGGGCGCCGTTTGGAAAATCGCCGAGGTATTTGCTGATCCCCGAGCTGCTGCGCTTTGCGTCGGCGGCCGATTTGTTGGCGAAACTGAATGCCATGGAGGGCTACAAGGCAGCGATCTTTTTCAAGCGGTCGGTTCATGGCTGGTGTCGCCATCCAATGGAATATATGATATAAGTATAAGTTATATATATATATACATGACCACACACACACATATATATATATGTATACGTATACGTATACGTATATGTATACGTATATATATGTATATGTATATGTATATGTATATGTATTTGGTATGATAATATATGTATATATGTAAATAGACAGAGTATGTATAGCAACATTTGCAATAGATGTATGAAGAAATATGAACAGATGGACAATGATGGACACAAAAAAAAATGATCGCACAAATAACCAATAAACATACACACACATATATATATGTTAGAGAGACCTTTCTGTACTATTTGACGGCTGAAGATTCCTTCTGAATTTCCTTTAAGTTTAACTTTTATTTATTTTCTCCGGAGCTCCAAATTTTAATAAATAAAATAAATAAAATAAATATTTATTTTATTTATTTTATTTATTTTCTCAGAAGCTTCAAAATTTAATAAATAAAATAATTAAAATAAATATTTATTTTATTTATTTTATTTATTTTCTCCGGAGCTCCAAATTTTAATCAATAAAATAAATAAAATAAATATTTATTTTCTCAGCCAAATCTTCTCCACACAGACCTCCAAAATAAAAAACATAAAATAAATAAAATAAATAAAATAAAAAAAATAAACAAAATAAATATTTATTTTATTTATTTTCTCCAGAGCTCCAAATTTTAATAAATAAAATAAATAAAATAAATATTTATTTTATTTATTTTCTCAGGAGCTCTAAATTTTAATAAATAAAATAAATAAAATAAATATTTATTTTATTTATTTTATTTATTTTATTTATTTTCTCAGGAGCTCCAATTTTTAATAAATAAAATAAATAAAATAAATATTTATTTTATTTTTATTTTTTATTTATTTTATTTATTTTATTTTGGAGGTCTGTGTGGAGAAGATTTGGCTGAGAAAATAAATATTTATTTTATTTATTTTCTCCGGAGCTCCAAAATTTAATAAATAAAATAAATAAAATAAATATTCATTTTCTCAGCCAAACCTTCTCCACACAGACCTCCAAAATAAAATAAATAAAATAAATAAAATAAATAAAATAAATAAAATAAATATTTATTTTATTTATTTTATTTATTTTCTCCAGAGCTCCAAATTTTAATAAATAAAATAAATAAAATAAATATTTATTTTATTTATTTTATTTATTTTCTCAGGAGCTCTAAATTTTAATAAATAAAATAAATAAAATAGATATTTATTTTATTTATTTTATTTATTTTCTCAGGAGCTCCAAATTTTAATAAATAAAATAAATAAAATAAATATTTATTTTATTTTATTTATTTTATTTATTTTATTTATTTTATTTATTTTATTTTGGAGGTCTGTGTGGAGAAGATTTGGCTGAGAAAATAAATATTTATTTTATTTATTTTATTTATTTTCTCCGGAGCTCCAAATTTTAATAAATAAAATAAATAAAATAAATATTTATTTTCTCAGCCAAATCTTCTCCGCACAGACCTCCAAAATATAAATAAATAAAATAAATAAAATAAATATTTATTTATTTGTTTTAAAATTTTAAATTATTTATTTTATTTTTTTTATTTTCTCCGGAGCCAAATTTTAATAAATATAAATAAAATAAATAAAATAGATATTTATTTTATTTATTTTATTTATTTTCTCAGGAGCTCCAAATTTTAATAAATAAAATAAATAAAATAAATATTTATTTTATTTATTTTATTTATTTTATTTTGGAGGTCTGTGTGGAGAAGATTTGGCTGAGAAAATAAATATTTATTTTATTTATTTTATTTATTTTCTCCAGAGCTCCAAATTTTAATAAATCGAATAAATAAAATAAATATTTATTTTATTTATTTTATTTATTTTCTCAGGAGCTCTAAATTTTAATAAATAAAATAAATATTTATTTTATTTATTTTATTTATTTTCTCAGGAGCTCCAAATTTTAATAAATAAAATAAATAAAATAAATTTTATTTATTTTTTTTATTTTATTCATTTTATTTATTTATATTTTTTTTATTTTAGAGGTCTGTGTGGAGAAGATTTGGCTGAGAAAATAAATATTTATTTTATTTATTTTATTTATTTTCTCCGGAGCTCCAAATTTTAATAAATAAAATAAATAAAATAAATATTTATTTTATTTATTTTATTTATTTTCTCAGGAGCTCTAAATTTTAATAAGTAAAATAAATAAAATAAATATTTATTTTTATTTTTTATTTATTTTATTTATTTTATTTATTTTTTTTTTCCCTCAGGAGCTCCAAATTTTAATAAATAAAATAAATATTTATTTTATTTATTTTATTTATTTTATTTATTTTATTTATTTTATTTTGGAGGTCTGTGTGGAGAAGATTTGGCTGAGAAAATAAATATTTATTTTATTTATTTTATTTATTTTCTCCGGAGCTCCAAATTTTAATAAATAAAATAAATAAAATAAATATTTATTTTATTTGTTTTATTTATTTTCTCCGGAGCTCCAAATTTTAATAAATAAAATAAATAAAATAAATATTTATTTTATTTATTTTATTTATTTTCTCAGGAGCTCTAAATTTTAATAAGTAAAATAAATAAAATAAATATTTATTTTATTTATTTTATTTATTTTATTTATTTTATTTATTTTCTCCGGAGCTCCAAATTTTTAAAAAAATAAAATAAATAAAATAAATAAAAAACATATTTATTTTATTTATTTTATTCATTTTCTCAGGAGCTCCAAATTTTAATAAATAAAATATATAAAAAACATATTTATTTTATTTATTTTATTTATTTTCTCCGGAGCTCCAAATTTTCATAAATAAAATAAATAAAACAAATATGTATTTTATTTATTTTATTTATTTTCTCCGGAGCTCCAAATTTTAATAAATAAAATAAATAAAATATATATTTTATTTATTTTATTTATTTTCTGAGGAGCTCTAAATTTTAATAAATAAAATAAATAAAATAAATATTTATTTTATTTAATTTATTTATTTTATTTATTTTATTTATTTTATTTTGGAGGTCTATGTGGAGAAGATTTGGCTGAGAAAATAAATATTTATTTTATTTATTTTATTTATTAAATTTTAAAGCTTCTGAGAAAATAAATATATTTTATTTATTTTCTCAGGAGCTCCAAAATTAAAAAAATAAAATAAAAAAAATAAATATTTATTTTATTTAATTTATTTATTTTCTCAGGAGCTCTAAATTTTAATAAACAAAATAAGAAATATATATATTTATTTTATTTATTTTATTTTTTTTATTTATTTTATTTATTTTATTTTTTTCAATTTTTTTCTCATTTTATTTATTTTATTTATTTTATTTATTTTATTTATTTTATTTATTTTATTTATTTTATTTATTTTATTTATTTTATTTATTTTATTTTGGAGGTCTGTGTGGAGAAGATTTGGCTGAGAAATTAAATATTTATTTTATTTATTTTATTTATTAAAATCTGGAGCTCTGGAGAAAATAAATAAAATAAATAAAATAAATATTTATTTTATTTATTTTCTTTATTAAAATTTGGTGCTCCTGAGAAAATAAATAAGATAAATAAATAAAATAAATATGTGTTCTATTTATTTTATTTATTTTCTCCGGAGCTCCAAATTTTAATAATTAAAATCAATATCTATTTTATTTATTTTTATTTTTTTAAATCTTTTTTTGTTTTTTTTAATTATGTTTATTTTATTTTGGAGGTCCGCGTGGAGAAGATTTGGCTGAGAAAATACATATCTATTTCTTTTTTTATTTATTAAAATTTGGGGTTCTGATAAATTAATTAAAATAGATTTAAATAAATGTAGAATATATAAGAAAAACCAAACAAAACTATTTTCTACTATTTGATTTTTTTCTATCACGAATTGTTTTTTTGTGCCAAGAATCTACTGAGGGCAAGATATCTCTTTCACCTTTTGATTTACTTTATCAAAGCTGCCAAATTTCAGGAAGGAAATGCATAAGGAATCTTCAGCCTTATATATTTCATTGCTTGCCCCTTCCTTTGGCTCGCTTAGGAGTTTGTGTGCGTTATATTTGCCTTGCTTGCTTCTGTGGCTTGCTAAGCACTTTGTGTGCTTTATTTGCATTGCTTGCCTTTGTGGCTTGCTAAGCACTTTGTGTGCTATATAATTGCTTTGCTTGCTTTTGTGGCTCGCTAAGCACTTTGTGTGCTTTATTTGCTTTGCTTGCCTTTGTAGCTTGCTAAGCACTTTGTGTGCTTTATATTGCGTTGCTTGCCTTTGTGGCTCGCTAAGCACTTTGTGTGCTTTATATTGTGTTGCTTGCCTTTGTGGCTCGCTAAGCACTTTGTGTGCTTTATATTAGCTTTGCTTGCCTTTGTGGCTTGCTAAGCACTTTGTGTGCTTTATTTGCTTTGCTTGCCTTTGTGGCTTGCTAAGCACTTTGTGTGCTTTATATTGCGTTGCTTGCCTTTGTGGCTCGCTAAGCACTTTGTGTGCTATATATTTGCTTTGCTTGCCTTTGTGGCTCGGTAAGCACTTTGTGTGCTTTATATTGCGTTCCTTGCCTTTGTGGCTCGCTAAGCACTTTGTGTGCTAAGCACTTTGTGTGCTTTATATTAGCTTTGCTTGCCTTTGTGGCTTGCTAAGCACTTTGTGTGCTTTATTTGCTTTGCTTGCCTTTGTGGCTTGCTAAGCACTTTGTGTGCTTTATATTGCGTTGCTTGCCTTTGTGGCTTGCTAAGCACTTTGTGTGCTTTATATTGTGTTGCTTGCCTTTGTGGCTCGCTACGCACTTTGTGTGCTTTATATTGTGTTGCTTGCCTTTGTGGCTCGCTAAGCACTTTGTGTGCTTTACATTAGCTTTGCTTGCCTTTGTGGCTTGCTAAGCACTTTGTGGCTTGCTAAGCACTTTGTGTGCTTTATATTGCGTTGCTTGCCTTTGTGGCTCGCTAAGCACTTTGTGTGCTATATATTTGCTTTGCTTGCCTTTGTGGCTTGGTAAGCACTTTGTGTGCTTTATATTGCGTTCCTTGCCTTTGTGGCTCGCTAAGCACTTTGTGTGCTTTATATTGCGTTGCTTGCCTTTGTGGCTTGCTAAGCACTTTGTGTGCTTTATATTGTGTTGCTTGCCTTTGTGGCTCGCTACGCACTTTGTGTGCTTTATATTAGCTTTGCTTGCCTTTGTGGCTTGCTAAGCACTTTGTTGGCTTTATATTTGTTTTGCTTGCCTTTTTGGCTTGCGTTCTTCCTGGTGGCATGTGCTGATGGAGCTTTATGATTCAAGATTCAAGTATACCCCCGTACACACTACATGGGGCAGAATTACATAAATAGAAGTAGAACAAAATCGATGGTTTTTGATGAGAAACCGCATCGAACTGGATGATTTGGGTGGCTGCATGTATCTGCTACTTTATGGTCATGTTTTTGTTCAGAGGTTGGTCGGGACATAGGACAAGTTGAGAGATTTGCAGCGATCAGATCTGTCAGTGTGGAGATGCACAGGTATGATAATGTTTATGGCCGCCTGCAAATAGGAATGCCTCCAAGCAAAGAAGGTAAAAACATTGAGCAAACTTGTGGGCCCGATCGTTCCGGCTCAAGATTTTCACGGCGCAGTCACCATTGAGTCACCATGGCCATGATCCGACCGGGAGCTTGTGTTTGGCACACCTCGCATAGCGGCTTGAAGACCCAACTCAAAGTTTGGGCCAGCAGGTGGGACGGCGCCGTTCAACTCACGTCAAGTGCCTTGCAACAACGGGGCAGTGGTGCAGGTGTTGGTTGTGTGAAAAGACAAGATTCAAAGTGAACATGCTAGAGGTGCCAGGTGAGGGTCTCTAGATGTTAAACAAAGGTGCATCCGCTTCAGAACCTCACGGCGAGCTCCATGGCAGCCTGGGCGCACACGGACCCGAACCCTATCACGATCTCCAGCTCAGTGAGGGCACGCATGGGCCGGAGCCCGGTCGCGAGCTCCGGCTCAGTCTGTGCAGGCACGTATTCAGATAGAATGCCAGATAGGATGTCAGAATATATGCCAGAGAGAATGCGAGAATAGATGCCAAATAGAATGCCAGCATGTACTTCAGACAAAATGCGAGAAATAATGCCAGAAAGAATGTCAAAAAATATATATATGCCGAATAGAAAGGCAGATAGACTGTAAAAAAAATATGAAAAATAGAATTTCAGATGAAATGTCAGAATACATGTCAGATAAAATGCCAGATAGAATCCCAGAATATGCGTCAGATAGAATGTCAGAATATGTGTCAGATAGAATGTCAGAATGTGTGTCAGAAAGAATGCTAAATAGAATGTCAGAATATATATCAGATAAAATGCCAGATAGAATGCTAGCTGCTAGATAGAAATGCAGATAGAATGTCAGAAAACATGTCAGAACATGTGTCGGATAGAATGTCAGAATATGTGCCAGATAGAATATCAGAATATGTGTCAAAAAGAATGTTAAATAGAATGTCAGAATATATGTTAGATAGAATGCCAGCTGCTAGATAGAAATACAGATAGAAAGTCAGAAAACATGTCAGAATATATATGTGTCGGATAGAATGTCAGAATATGTGCCAGATAGAATATCAGAATATGTGTCAAAAAGAATGTTAAATAGAATGTCAGAATATATGTCAGATAGAATGCTAGCTGCTAGATAGAAATACAGATAGAATGTCAGAAAACATGTCAGAATATGTGTCAGATAGAATGTCAGTTGGGAGGGATCACTCAAGGAAAGTAGTGTCTATCGCAAAGATTTTGTATGTGGTCCTTCGGAAGTTATTTCGGTGCATTATGTGGGTTACTGTATCCTTTGGTGGGAATAGCTGCGTAGTTTTTCATTTAAAAGGGACCATGGAGGTTAGTAGCAATCTCAACATCTTCTAGGAATAATCTCTTCCCTTAGTATGACATACCCCATTAATGGACACCAAGTGAATGGATCCGGTATTACGATTTCTCAAGTGCTATTTAGTATTAGTGTGAAGAGATGAATCCAGCCAAATCTGTTTTTCGGTGAATAATATCTGGCGGAAGATACCTTATAAGAACTTCTGCATGTTTGCTATAGCTTTGCTTAGCTATGACTGAATTTTCAGAAAATGAAGACTGTTAGACACGGATGCGGGGTTGAGGTCTGACAGTTGCTCCGCCAGATGGAACACCATGGATTCCGAGGAGCTTGGTGACTCTCGCACCTTGTCGGCACGGTTTTGGGTTTGTGGAGGTGGACCGACTATGAATCCAATAGGAGCTCCAAAAAATGGCATTGCCAAATTACCGGTATCATAATTTATGAATAAGACATTAATTCCTTCCCCCTGACAATCAACATCTCGGAAATCATGGGTTAAAAGGGGATTTACACATATTTGGGACCATACAGATGGGTGTGTCTAATATCAGAGGGATGGGACTGCTGGCATCATCCAACTGATCACAAAGGATCAGGAGCGTCTGGCCACTTAGACTTGAATCGGAGCTGGAATTTCCGTACGGAGTGACTGCTTCGGTGTTGATGTTTGCAGCTTGAATGGACTAGAGTGACCAGACTGCCAGATAGGTGCACTACCAAACCTCCATGTGGCCGTGGGTCCAAATTCAAACTCAGCCAGCCAGGATTTTTGGTCCATCCTTGGTCTAATTTCCTTCCAGTTAATTGACATAGATTAGAACATCCACCTAATTTATAGATTATTTATGGATCATTTCCTACAAAACACATGAGTTGTCCATATCTTTTTGCACATGTACCCCAGGGTACCTATCGGATTTTCGGAGCCCATTTGCATCCATCTCTATCTGCATTTCCCCGAAGTTGCTATGCTGCTGGCTGGGTTGGTGCCAGACACTCTCAAAAAAACGTTTGTCCACCCATGGTTACATGGGACTTTCATGGACACTTATTGGGATTTTATAGTGATTTAATGGGATATTCATGGGAAAAAATGGAGGTTCAATGATACTTTGATGGAATAGACCCATTGATGGAATATATCAGTCTTCTATCAATTGAAGACCCTATATTTTTCTACCAGGTGGGGCCCCGATAGCTAAGTTGACGCATGTAACTTGCTTAATATATTTGGGTTTGTGGAGGGATATAGGTCAGGCAAATTGTGACCATAGACATAGGGGATTAGCTGGGGGGAGCCTGTCGAAATGTAACTTCCATTTTTATTAGGCAAAACCTTCGAAATTGTAACTTACGCAATGCCAAAACCCGACAAAACAGGTACCTTCAAAAATGTAACTTAAATTTAGGGGGCCTCATCTGAATTATGTCAAATTACATTGAGACGGTAAGACTTTCCTAAAGGTAACTAACATGTTTGAAGGTAGCTGTTTTGTGGAAAAACCTTCTCCTCAAACATGTAAATTGATCCTGGGGAGATCCTCCAAATTGTTTGAGGCCGATGAGGATCAGCCAGATGTTCCGGCAAGCTTCGATGCCAAGCGGGAGCCGGACAGAGACTACTTGCTCTTTAGGTGCTGCTCGCACATTTAGCAGAAGTCACAGCATTAGACCGCATTGTGGAACATGTGAAAACCGCATTTCAAGGTCCAAACTAATAGTTGATACATTTCTACCGCTGAGTGACCCCTCAACTTGTCAATTTTCAATTTTTTAATGATAGCAAGCAGGCTGGGGAAAGAAAATGCAATTGATTCACCGTAACCTGTCATGAGAGATACCCGATTTTAGACGGACAAGTTGATTTTTCGAGGTTGGAAATCAAATCTCCTCCTCCATCAAGAAAAGCGATTGTTTCGATTGGTTGCAGGTTGCAGAATGAAAACCGACGCCAGCAGTTTCGCTCTCGCTCCCCAGAGCCTTGTCGCAGCATCCGGGGAGGGGAGTGCAAAACGGTGATAAGCCATCATGGCGAGCTGGAAAATCCCCAATAAATGGAGACTTCTAGCTCGGAACATAATCGAACTAAATGGGGGCTTTTCCAGCAAGCCATGTGGCACACCCAAATGTCATGGTGTTGGCTACATACATACCCCATTACTATCCCCAATAATCTCTGATCAAATCATATCAAAGCCTTATCGTTTATCGTAAATCCAGCATGTTCAGACACCCAACTACTTATGTCTGATGTTGCCTACAGATTCTATTGTACAGATATAATCTCATTATATCCCAAGTAGACTCTCATTACCTTCGGGTAAACATTTAAAAGCTATAGAACATCACTAGTTTGAAGCAGTAAATCAATGTGAATCATGGAACTATATGGGCCATAGCATCCATCGCTATGCGAGTATACTGGATGGTAAGTCCAATTCAACAGGGGTTGGTAAATGTCCTATATATAATTGATTATTAATTTCACATCACCCAACTATAGGTGATATAATCTCCAACGAATACTTGAAAGTGATGTTCAAAATCCCCAAATACTGAAGATTTGAAATTGATCAAGTCACACGGTTGGTGAGCCATATCCCATGAACACCTATGAGATTCCATTGAAATTTCCATTGAATGGGCTCATTCCCAGGAACTTACAACTCCAATAATCGTTGGACCTTCTCAATCGATGTCTTTACATACAATTATATTAAGACTTGTAACCACCAAATCTGATGGTTGATCACCGTTTTCTCCAAGCAAGGCTCGGTCGCATAGCAACCAAACTCTGTTCAGCACGACTTCGAACAAGGGCCGAGGCAAAGGCAAACGCATTTGCTATGACTTTTGCAATGGACCGGAGGGTTCGGAGGAAGGAAGGGTGATCATGTGTGTGTGTGTGGCCATTTTAGAAATCCTGGGAAATCTTCCATTTGAGTGCCATTTTTTAGATCTTCAGATTCCAAATTTGAACTTTGGATTTAGATAGGTTTCGATCGAAACCCATCTAAAGTGCCATGTCATGGGGGGGGCCATCTAACTCCTCCTAAAAAAAACATGAGGGTTAGGTAGATGGAAAAGGGGTTCAGACCAGGGATTTAGATGGGTTTCGATTGAAACCCATCTAACTCTATGTCATCAAAATGTGAAGTGGAGATGTAAAAAAGTAACTATTTCACCTACCATTTAATTTGGGGTCAGTAGGCCAGTGTTTTCCAAATGCCTAGGGCCTAGGGATTAGGGCCATCATCATTGGTACCTCAGGGTTTTTGAGATCTCAAATTGAAACGTATGTCTTTGGTCAGTGAGTTATGACCCCTTTTTCAGTGTATTGTTTTGACAAAATGGGATGGCAGTAGACCCCAAGATTCCTTCTAAATTCAAAACCTTTTGAACTTTTGAGTTGTTCTCAAACCGATTGATGAATAGGGGTTTGACATTGGGAATCACATGTGGGTTAAAGGGGATGATATTAGCGATAATTAGTATTTTGGTGGTTGTACCATGAAACATGGGATCTTCGTCTAAATGTAGATATAGAAACCCTTCGTTACCTCATTTGGATTTCCTTGAACTTTAGGACCCCAAATGTCTTGCACACAGACCATCTTTAAATGCAAAACCTTCCATGTTGGGTCTCTGAAATACTTATCTTCTATATCATTCGGGTTTTTCCACCCAGATAATGTAGAAGATCCCCTTTCCGACAATTCCCGAATATCTTCTATAATAACTGTGTGTACTATAGTGACCGGATGTGTTCTGTTGCGGCACGCAGGAAATTGCAATCGTGGCGACAAATGCGGCTACAAGCACAACCTCACCTACCTGTAGCTTCCTGGGCTGTGTAAGGAAAGGATCGATATTTCACACCCAACCGGGCCTGTGGTTCTTACTATATATCCTAAACATTACATTTGTTCCATATGTAGCCTCTTTATAGCCTCAACTCTGTTGGAGGGTCCCTAGAGGGTCCGTAGGATGGCTTTTCCATGTAACAGATCACGTAACAGATCACGTAACAGATCATGTAACAGATTAGGGGTTCCCAAAGGAAAATTTAGTAAAATTTAACATGGATCCTATAAAGAGGCTACCAGTATAAGTATATATTTTTTTAAGAATCCCTGGGTCCGCAGGAGTGGTCCCTGGCCTAACCTCAGTTTAACAGTTAGAAAGGTTTGTATCTATGATGCCCTTGGCCTCTTTAATGCCATCATATAATTTCAATTGCACATGGGTATGTCTACTAGTACAAACTTTTGAAACCATGCATGCCAACTTACTATACCCATGTTTCATTTCTATTCCAGTTTTTGTTTCAAGTGCAAATGCATAAGATATAAGTGACGATATCAAGATGACTTTGTTTTGCTAGACTGTCATTCTCCCACGTTAAAATTCAACTGAATCAGAATCATATTGTATATGATTTCTCTTAACCCCAAAGTCTGTTCGGAAGGTCCTTACCCATCCGCTGGGGACGTGACAAGTCATTCAATAATTCATGTAACAGGCCGAGGTTGATTTGGGTCGAACTGGAGTCAGATTATCGCACATCTTTGGGCATGTCACGTGTAAGCATATTTATAGATATTCTACGTAACGTCTCCTCAATTTGTGATAGTGAATGTTGTGTCATTCAAGTTAATTATCCTTTATTTAGATGCGTGCATGCAAGCTGAAATAAAGCTAGTGCTTCCCAAAGCACGTTGCAGAAGCCACCAGCCAAGCTCACGGGTAGTTTCATTTCACTGACAACCTTTCAACACTGATAACCATTTCACTAGGTATGAACTATAGGTCAAATAGTTGGAGAGCTCGCGCCGGCTCATGCAACAGGCGCTTACGCCAGAGCTGAAATAAAGCTAGTGCTTCCCAAAGCACGTTGCAGAAGCCACCAGCCAAACTCACAGATAGAGCTGCGCGTTTGCCAGAAGCATCCTTGGTAGTGGAGCGGGTGGTGCTAGGGGGCACCCACAGTACGACTTTTCATCCCCCCCCTGCACTTGACACTTGATGCGGATGAACGTTCCTTGGTGAGTCCAATTCATCCAGAACAGCGCGGATTTTGGGTGATGGGGCCAGCAGTCACCCAGTGCCATGTCAGCGGAGCTAATTATACCGCAGGCTTCAGTCTAAGCCAGCTCCGCTCAAACACTATTCATTTCCAGTTTCCAAAATGTCCACCGATCTGGGGTGTTGGATTCACGCTGCTTGCAACAACTGGATCCAAGCTACCCAAATATGCTTTAGATTTGGCTTTCAAGTCGTGGCGAAACTATAGACAAGGAAAGAAAGGCTTTTCATCCGGCTTTCGTTAATTCACAAACAAGTACATGTGCCGCTGTCGAACTCATTGCAACTGATTTAGTTCCTGATATGAAAGCAATCTTCAAAACTAAGTGCTAGTAGGCATCGCCTGAGCTTTGCAAGCAGTGATGCTGCTAAGTGCTTTCTCGTGTGATCCGAGGTTACTTTGCCATCCGTGACAGCGGCGTGCGAAGGTAAACTTCATTCGGTCAACAGCGAACATATCGGTCTGCGCCTCAGCCTTTCTGAGGTGCTCACACAAATAAGCATGTGCCAAATGGTTGTTCTGGATGCATGTCTCTTCACGGGACTTTGTTGGCTGCAGCGCAGTTCGGTTCAAGCAATTTGCCGCATCCGCACCTTCTTTTATCCGCACCTTCTTTTCCTCAGGCAGTCCTTGCTTGGAACGTTTGTTCCAACCATTTTGTCTGGTCATGGCTTCTGCAGCGCAACAAACTTTTTGATGCTGCGTAGGCTCCATGTCGCTTTTCTTCGAGTTGGCAGACTACCGTTTTGTGAGGCCTTGGGTGTATTTTAGCTTCATCTTTGCGCTGTCATTCCCCATCTGTCCAACCTGTCAGGATCATGTCCTGGGCTGACGCAACAGAAGACGAACTGTTACCAGAGGAAGCGCTGACATCTTAGCTCAAGACGACTGCTCGGCCTGTGACTTTGTAACTAGCAAACCTGCAGAACCGTCCTGTGCTTTCTCAGGTTTGACTTGGATACCACCATGGAGCCCATGCTGCCGTCCATGCCTCTATCTGTGCTGTGGTGTGTTGAGCTTGCCTCCAAACGCTTGTCTCAGTAAGGTCTGACGTCAGCGAGCAGTCTGACAGCGACACTTTGTCGTTCAGGCCTCGGCAGTGTTTCTGCGGAGCACGGGCAAGGGTATCGCTGACATGAAAACGGTAATTTTTTTGGCAGCGCATCAAGACTCAGGTGTGAGAAATGCGAATTGGTCGAGATGTTGACTTCCTCCCAGTCCTAAGCTGAATGCTGCACACTGCCACCATGGAGCCCATGCTGTCGTCCATGCCTCTATCTGTTCTGTGGTGTGTTGAGTTTGCCTCCAAACGCTTGTCTCATTGAGGTCTGACATCAGCGAAAAGTCTGACAGCGACACTTTGCCGTTCAGGCCTCGGCAATGTTGCTGTGGAGCACAGGCAATGGCATTATTGCTGACATGAAAACGGTAGTTTTTTGTAGCGCATCAACACTCAGGTGTGAAAGATGTGACCCCGTCGAGATGTTGACTTCCTCCCAGTCCCAAGCTGAATGCTGCACACTACCACCATGGAGCCCATGCTGTCGTCCATGCCTCTATCTGTTCTGTGGTGTGTTGAGTTTGCCTCCAAACTCTTGTCTCATTATAAGGTCTGACATCAACGAAAAATCTGACAGCGACGCTTTGTCGTTCAGACCTCGGCAATGTTTCTGCGGAGCATAGGCAACGGTATTGCTGACATGAAAACGGTAATTTTTTTGGCAGCGCATCAAGACTCAGGTGTGAGAAATGCGAATTGGTCGAGATGTTGACTTCCTCCCAGTCCTGACCTGAATGCGACACACACACACACTGTCCTGCTGCCATGATGGTGTCGAAACTCATATATGCACACCCATGGCATGACTGCTTCAGTTTCGCATGATGCATTCCCAAGCTCAGCATACTGCACATGACCTTTGCGCTGTAGGCCCCTCAAGCTGTCGCGGAGACAAAAGAGGCGACGCTACGAGGAGCGGTACTGGGACAATGTCTACCTCAATGCCCTCAAAAAGCTCGACCGCCGAAGAGCGCGGAAAGAGCGAGAGCTTGAAGCCATTTTCGAAGAATACAAGAGCATTGTGGCGAAGGAGAGGGAAGCCCAGCTTGATGAATCTGACGCTCCCCGTGCCTCGGCGGATGAAACTTGTAGCGGCTTCTCACGTTTTATTTGTCCCACAAAAAAAACTCTGCTTCCGCTCAGGACAGCCTCGATCCAGCTCCATTCGCCCCCCAGCTGAGCGCTTCCGCGAAGTCTGCCTCATTGACTCGCTCCGGGCCCACCGGTACAAGGTGCAGTACACGGCGGATGGGCCTTTCTGGGCCATGGCTGACGGCAACAAATTTTTGCGCCCATGGCAGAATCTCTGCCGATTTCACATTTTTGTTTTTTTAAAATTCTTTACTTTGTTCGATCAGTGAATCAAACAAGGGAAAACTTATTCGATGTGCGCCCTATATTTTGATGTGTCTGTCTTTCTGCCACTTGGGTGAACTTGTTCCCAACTCAGGCGTTCAATCTCCCGCGTTGCTCAGATCAACCAATACCACGATGGTCAGTATATTCTTGCGTACAGGAGGCATTTTGTAGCATTCCGGATCCTGGATGGCAATGCCGAAATCAACTTCACCCATAAGTCGCACACATGGCAAACATGTTGGCTGTCCAGCGGGCTTTCTAGCCCTGTTGGGTTTGCGCCCAGTGAATGTGCTTACGTTGTGAATGAAGGGCTTCTCGATGGCATTTTCCAAATCTCACCATCAACCCACGCTGCACATGGTGAAGATCTGGCGGGGGGCTCGTCCAACTTAGTGTTCACTTCGGCACTCACAGGTGAAGTTGTCACTAGTGGAGACTTCCCTACCTCTGCCCCTTTCATGCCTGCTGTACGAAATTTCTGCTCTCAGGCTTTCGATCATCCTCCTTTCGCCATCACTTTTCTCAATGGCGGATGCGTTGTAGCCTTCGGTGCTACAGTCGCTAGCCTTGAAAGTGGGCATGTTGACGTTATATTGCGTCCAATCAAAAGCACCGGGACCAGGAAGTTCTTGTATGCCATCAGAGAGGATGATGCAGAACTGGTGCGGGAGTGTCTCTGCAATGGGCAGGACCCCAACACTACATTCCCCAACGGCTTCACAGCCTTGTCATACTGCGCCACGCATGCTGCCACTTCCTCTTTGTCTGTCCTGCTCAGCGCCAAGGCCAGCCCAAACATGCGTGGCTCAGATGGCAACACTGCCTTGCACCATGCAGTGTATAGAGAGCACATCGATGCAGTCCAGCTGCTCTTACAGCATGGAGCAGAAGCAGATGCGCTGGATGCGGGAGGGACGGCTTCTGCACACTGGGCATCACAAGGCCGGGGCATGGCTGGTTCAGCCATATTGGCGTGTCTTGCGGAAGCAAATGCAGACTTGCATTTGCAAGACAAAGATGGGGACACGCCATTTGGTTTGGCCAGTGGTTCTGGGAGTAGCACTCTTTTAGTGATTATGAGTGCAGTGTGGGATCGAATCCGCTGGGTGGATGTGCTTGTGCGGCATGAGTTTTTGTTGGCGGGGTTCGTGAACACACATCAGCTGAAAATTGCTTCCAGAGCCACGAGCGCGAAATTTGCCTGGGACACGCTAGGAGGGAGAGATGCTTTGGATGCGCCAATCATTACGGGGATGAAGTATGCGTTCTTCATGTTTTTGGTTGCCCCCCTCTTTCCGACACTGAATGCTCACCCACACTTGAACTCGGTGCTTCCCAACCCTTCCAATGACAAGTGTGGTGCGCAGGCCTTCTTGCAACAACTTTTACCCATCAGCTTTTTGATCGCAACGATACAAAACAAAGATTCCCAAACGTTCTACAATGGTCTCTCCACCATCTTTGACCGCGTGCTCAAGACACACCCTTTGATTCGTGAGTACATATTTTCTTGCCCTTCCCTTCGCACATCTGCTGGACAGAAGGGCGCAGCCCGTCGTATTCAATTGCTATTCCTGTTGTCTTTGCCCTTGCCATTATCTGGCGCTGCCTTGCTGAACCAAAATCAGCAGTCGGAAAAACCATCGCAAAACATGGCCACTGAAGTACAGCGTCGACTTTCTCTGTTCGAAGGCTTGTGCTTGGACTACAGAACTTTGCTGTGCCTGCGTCCTGGTTTATGGCGTGTCATGCCCAACCCTTTCTCCCTTCTGGACGCAGGCGATGGCACTGTTTGGGACTCTGCTCTCGGCAAAACTCGAACCACTTTTGCCACCATTTCTTCATTCTTGGCGCATCAGCTTCCTGTTCCGGCTGCACCCCTGATGGACAGAACAGACAAGCGGTTGAGGGTCTATCTTGCTTGCCTGCGCAAGCACACGGTCAACATCTTAAAGGAGCCGCAGTCCGTGCTCCACGTCCTCAATCCATGCGACAGCTCCATTCCAAAACGGCCTTGGGAACTCAATCTCTTCACAATGCGTCAGCGTTGGTCATGTTCAGAATGTGCTGAAATTGATGAGACCAGAGGTGATGATGATATGATAGGTGGAAGTAGTGCATGTGGGCAGCAGCAGAACGAGAAGTCTTCCTCCGGCCCGGCCCAGAATATCGCAGGTCCAGCTGCTCGCCTCTGGCATGCTTGCATGTTTGGCGATGTGTGTGGCGGGGCTTGCCATGATGTCACAGCCATGTCAGCTGTGACAGGAGAAGCCATGATGTGCTTCACTATCCCGTGCGAGTTTGAGGAGCACAGCTTCGTGGATCAAGTTCGCGTGCAAGCTGCCGCTATATTCTCTGCGCCGTACTTTTGTTTCGATGTCTTACACGGAGACAGCCTTCTTGATGATGGATATACTTGTGCAGATCTTGGCTATCCCAGCGTAGTGTACATGGTTGTAAAGCCAAAAGTTGTGGACTGGACAGAGAACTTGTTTGATGCGATTGAAGATGGCAATGTTCAAGAAGTTCAGAAATGGTTGAAGATGGGACAAGATCCGGACTGCACCATGATAGATTCGGCCCTGTGCGCGGCAACAGAGCGGAACCATGAATCTGTAGTGGAGTTGCTGATTCGTGCTGGGGCCAATGTCAATTACATTCCCATGGGCCGTCCTGGGCCTTTGCAAACTGCAGTTATTTCCAATGCAGAAGGGTGTGCCACCCTGCTCTTGCGCAGTCACGCAAACCCAAACTTGTGTGATGGTACTCCGGCAGCAAACACACCTTTGCACTTAGCCACTGTCTACGGAGATGCGCCATTCACTCACATCCTCCTTTCACACGGAGCGGACCCAATGCTGCCAAACGCATACGGGCAATCTCCGGTTGCATTGGCAACCCCCGGCCTCGTAACCGCATTATGTTTGGCCGAATGTTCTGATGATGAGGTCGATGCTGCAACTCTCCTGCTGCGACATGTTTCGATCTTGGCCACTATGGGGTGCCCCCCGAGTTTTTGGACAGTCTGTAGAGCGCTGAACAATCATCGCCAAGACCCGCATTCCGATCTTGAAGGTGGCAGCTCGATTTCTGCAGCGCTAGACTCAAAGCATTGGGTGCGTCTGTGCCAAAACAGAGCGAAGGCTTTGGAAAAAAAACGGAAAGTGCCTCGAGATTTTACCGATGATGATCTGGAAAGGCTGATGGCCACAGGTTTGACATCTTCTCAAATCGACATGATTTCAACCAGAAGAGGTGATGCCATCAGAAGGCGCCGCTGGCATCAGCTGTGGGAAAAATCAATGCCAACTTGTTTGAACCAGCGGTTTGAGCAAGGATGCTGCAGAGGAATCCGATTGCCTTTAGCAGCTGACGGATGGGCTCCTGCAGACTTGGGCTTCATGCCATCAGAGTTCTTGACAACAGGCAGGTTATATGAAATTCCATGCTTTGATCTTCTCAAGCAAAGCAACCCTCACGAACGAGATGACCACTTGAAGTTCGATGAGTTGTCGCACACATACTACGTAGACGGAACCCCCTTGGATGTCTCCGTGACCGGATTCCTCGCAGCGTTCCTGGAGCCGTTTGACGCGGAGATTGTGATTTCCCGCATGCAGCAACAATCATCTTGGCCCCGGCCAGAGTACATCCATTTGACTCACATCCGCAAGGCTGTGGAGTTTGCGCAACGGTTTCCTGTCCTCCGGCCTCTACTATCCTTATTGCAAGCCCAGCCCATCAACAAGGCGTCCCTGTGCCGCTTCTTGCAGCAAGCTCCTCAAGAGGACGAAGCCATTGTTGCAGCTAGATACCTCCTCACCATGACGAGTGCTGAAATCCAGGCCCAGTGGAAACGCAATGGTGAGGTTGCGTCTCGCCTAGGCACTTGGGCGCATTTACAATGCGAGTGTGTGTTGAATGCGGGGCAAGCTGCAAATCCTGGTCCGGAAATGGTGTGCTTGGCGCGCTTTTTGCAAACAACAGACCGATTGATAGCACACAGGACAGAGTGGAGCATCTGGGCGACTGATGAAAAACTTGCGGGCACCATAGATTTTGCGCCAGAGATTCTTCGGGCTGCCTGGTGCTTGTTGATTGGAAGCGATCCATGGGGCTGAAGAAAAAGTATCTTCTATCTTTCAAAAACATGAAGCGGGAATTGTCCCACATTCCAGACGCCGTCGGTTGGAAGTACAGACTGCAGCTTAATCTCTACAAGTATATCGTGGAAAAGTATTACGGATTTAACGTCAGTCGCATGCATGTGGTCAACATTCATCCTGATGCTGTGGAAGAGCCATTCGTAGACGAAGTGCCCAACATGCAAGCTGAAATTCAGTCGATCATGGCAGCGAGAGTTCGGAGCTTACAGTCTGCAAGCACATCCGATGCTCAGCACGGGTTGCAGCCAGATGTTCATGCATTTCCAGCAGGCCGACAAGCTATGATTTCTCAAACCATGCTTGATGATATCCAAGGTGGCTCGGCAGGACTAAGCCAAAGCCAGCAGTCCATGAAGTTGGAAGAGACTGAGCAAGATGCGGCATTGGCCGCCGAACTGGAGAAACAGCAGGATTTGAACGAGGAGGATACACAGGAGAATGCAGAGCTTGCCCCGGGAAATGAGCAAGTGGCAGGGACACAGGCTAGTGAATGCAAAGAAGAAGACACAGAAAAGGATCCGATTGATGCTGCGTGCCTAGACGGTGAAACAATTGCAAGAATCAAACGAAGGCGATTTCTGAAAGGTGCGTATTCGTCCGCCGATGATTTTCGTGATTTGTTCCAAGGGTACCAAGATATTTCCAAGGCAGAATTAACAACTGTACCCAGAGACTGCGCCGATTCCACACATTGCATGCTCAAAAAGAGCACAGCATTGTGGGAAACTGTTCGAAGGCAAAAAGAAGGTTGGAGCGAAGAGATGGTGCGTCTTGGGGCTGCAACTGTTGCTGTATGCGGCATGCGCTTGTCAGATCGGATGTTTGTTGGCGATTCGGCTTACTTGCTGTGGATGATCGAAGGCAATTTGACCATACGAGTTCACTCAGGTTTCTGTTACATTTACAACGATGACGGGGCGTTTTTGCCTTACAGCGGCATTCCGCCAGAAGCCATTCTCACCCGAGTCAGTCTGTTCTGCACAATCTTGGAGGGCGTCCTCAAAAGATTGCCAGCGACCTTGAAACGAAATGATGCTGACATCATTCGCGCAATTGCCGCAGACAGAGAAACCTTCAACTCAGACAAAGATTATTTTGTGGCCTGCCGTGATGAAGCAATGATGGGCACTCGCAAAGTATTTCCCGATCTTGACAATCGAGATGGAGACGCGGATGATGGCGAGGAAGCAGGCGATGGTGCTGCTAATGCTATGTCTGAGTCGTGGGTTTCCAATGTGGCCAAGCGTATTTGGCGCCTGTGCCACTCCCTCAGATCTGAGATGATGCACGAGAGGTTAGTCAGTCTCCTGGTTGAATGGTGTGAGACGCCTCGCGCGAACTCAGCCTGTGTTGCGTACAAGGACACCTGCGTGGAGTACCTTCCAGACTCAAGCGCAAGGATTTTGCGTCATATCCAGAAATCGCCTGCCAACGACTGTTATCTGTACATTCCGCACAACTTATTGGATCCGGTGCTGGAAGCAAACTGCGCGAGGCTTTGGCAGTTCTACTCCCGCACATTCTGGGCGAACAGGGATGTCTTCCTGTGTTGCCAAGCCGCATTGGCCCTGGCAAAGCGAGGGATCAATGTTGATCGTTGCTTTATTGGAGAATCACCAGGCGGAGTTGGTCAATCCTTATATTCCTTGCATCTAAGCACGATGCTCGGGAGCAACCATGGATTTTTTGACCCAAACGTCTGGTACAATGAAGATGAGCTGCGAAAGCAAGTAGAAAGTTTCGCACGGTGCATAGTCATCACGGGGCAAGAAGCCCCTGAAAGTGCCAAAAAGTTGCACCTTGACCTCTTCAAGAAGACAATGTCTGGAGATGGAGTTGCAGGTCGAAAGCCCTATGGGTACACCACGCGGATGTTCGAGCTGATTGGTTGGAAGAGGCTCGAGGTCAATCGAATGCTTCGATTTGCAGGAGTAACGTCCGCCAATTTCAACTCTGTCTTTCGGCGCGGTCTCTTTTGGCAAGCCAAGGCGCGTTTTCACCCACCACATGTGATTGAGAAGCTACATCCAGACCATGAGCTCGATGGACACTTCGAAGCAGACCCAACCCTGAAGCAATTCTTGTCGAGCACTGCATCTGCTGCGGCAGGCTTGCGGATCCAGCATGCTTTCGAAGCCACCACAGGGAGGCAGGAATGCTTAGATCTTATTGAGAATTACGTTGCTGGTGGAGATGAGTCTATAACTGAAGACAAGATGCGCGAGGCATGCGGCTTGCCCCCCAGGGAGCGACGGAAAGACGCCGATTCCGTGGCTGCATTCATGGTGCATGTTCCCGATTCTCAAGAGGACAGAGAAGTGGAAGAAAAGAAATGGCAACACTTGAGAGACATGATTGTCAAAGACATGTTGGAACGAGGTGTCAGCGCACTAACTTTGTTCCAATTTCAGAAGTTGTCGCTCAACAGCGAAGAGGTCCCGAACCACTGCCGTGCAGATCTGTGGAAAGGTCTGGCTGATAGAAAGTTCTTAGTCAAGGGCTGCGCAAATTCTTCACGAGGGCGGGCCAGCGTGCAGATGCAGCCAGTCATCATGCCAGCAGCAGATTTCTTTCAGGTCGTTAATTGTCAAAAGGCGGACGACAAAGAAATATTCAAGGAAACGGTCAACGCGAAATCTGTGCAGGCGATAGTAGAGAAGGATTGCAGCCTACAAAATATTGACGCCTTGCTGTCTTTTTTCCAGCACAAAGCAAAAAATAATAGCAGGAAAAGGGGCCGGACATCTGCGCAGGCAGAAGAAACAAGAGCCAGGTTTGACAAGCTGGCCGCAAAAATCGCGGATCAGCAAAGGACCTGCAAAGCTCTCGCACACATGGGCCTACATGATGCAATCCACGCAGCGTCTCCTGCCAAGAGATTAGGGTCCAAAACCGAGCCGCTTTCCACACACAGTGTGATCTATAGTTACGCTGGGGAACGATTTGCCCGTGACAGAAGGTATGCGCATGGATTTGCTGCCCAGACATGCAGCCGTCGGTTGCAACAGCTCCTGTTTCCACACACGGTTGACTTGGACATTCAAAACTGCTGCTTGACTATCTTGCTTCAGTTATACGAAAAGCTATCGCCTCAACCTCCTTTGCCAGGCCCAGCTCTCGACTTCCTGCGGCAGTGCGTGCAAGACAGAGCAGCAGTTTGCACGCAAAAGCTTCAGGTTCCTATTTCAGAAGGCAAGCAACTCATCAATTCGGTGCTGCACGGTGCTTCTCTCCCTTCCAAGTTCAAGGATTGCTCATATGCCAAATTGTTGCAACAGCTGTCGATCTACATGCGCTGGCTTGCTTGCTCCATCTTCCGAGAAGAGTTCGAATCCTTGAGCGCAAAGGGCGAGAAGCGCAACCCAGATGCAACGGTATTTTTCTACATGTGGACAGCAGTTGAGGACGCTATCCTGTCTGCCTGGGTCTCAAACATCCAAAGCTCACATAGTCCGACCCATCTGTCTTTGCACTTTGATGGGATTCGGTTAAATTCGGATCTAAAATCTTGGGCCAATCAGCAGCAGCAGTTTCTTCAAGAATGTGAGCACCACATTCGCACGGAAACAGGTTTTACAGTTTCCATAGTGGAAAAGAAACATTCGGTCATGCTTGAGCTCCTAGAAGCAGCCTCGACGCGCACCACTCACCTGTCGGAAGTGCCGAGACTTCTGCTTCAACCAGGGAATTCGATTCCCTGTGCCTGTTGGCATCTTTTGGATGATGACCAGAAACAGACATTGATGGATTCTCTCACAGCTTGTTCCCGAGAGAATTCCTATTCTCAGGACCGCGGCGTCCGGAGCTACAAGCAGCTGCCGCAGAAGTTAATGCCCGTGTATGGGCTGCCACCTCCAGAAACAACACGGTTTCTTCTTCATGTCGAACGGCAGTGCCGACCTCGTTGCGTAGCCGTGGTGTGCGATCAGGCATTGATGGAGGTGCACGTGACGGACGGAGCCAAACAGCATGACCTATCGTTTGAAGCATTCTCAGGCGCTTATGCCGCTGCAGTGGATCGCTTGATGATTGCCAGCTTTGCCTTGGAAACAGATGAAGCCGAGGCGAGCAGCGATGAGAAAGTTTTGCTCGACTTGGAGGCGGGTAGCCATGAGGCTGCGTGCAATACCTTCTCGGACAGCGCAACCTCCGCTTCAGTGTCTTTTGTGTTGTACACTGGACAAGAACTTTGCAGCCTTCGGGTTTCAGAATTTTGCACAATTTTTCAGATGAAGCAGCAGATTGCCCTGCATGTGCAGCATTTGCCGTTTGGCATTGTCTTGCTTGAAGAAACAACGGTGCTACCATTGTTCGGGACATGGCGAGATGCTGGCTTTCCTCAGGTGATGCAAGTCGTGCTGAAACCTAGAACCAATGATTTCACAGAGGAGCTAGGACTTGCTATTCAAGATCAAGACCATGAGAAGGTAATTGCTGTGCTGGAAGCCGGCCAAGAACCGGATTGCTGGTTCAAGGGGCGGGACACGGGGCGAATGGAGCCTGCGCTTCTGGTTGCGGCTGGCGCGCGTTTCTTCTATTCGGTCCATCTGCTTCTGAATGCCTTTGCAAACCCTGAAAGCACTGGCGTTGACGGCCGCACTGCTATGCATATAGCTGTTCTTGCCAATTCGCCCGTCACCTTACAAGTATTGATCCAGCACAATGCAAATGTCCACCTTCATGACCGGCGAGGTGAAACACCTTTGCATTATGCTGCTTTCCTTGATAATGCCCCTTTAGTGAAGCAACTTGTCTGTGCCGGAGGTGATGCTTCGTCGCCGAACATTAATGGTGACGTGCCTCTGTACTGGTGCTGTGAAGCGGACACCAGAGCTGCGCTGATGGATGGCTGTTGGCAGAAATTGTCATACCTCAGTGTGTTCATGTTGAATGCCCACATCTTATCACCACACTTGCCTGGAAGGAAGTTGGGGCATTTGTGCAGGAGCCTCTACAGATTTGTTCGCTTCAACGTGCCGCATGATGCTCCTGACTTGCTGGCTGGAAGCGCGGCCTGCGCTGGTGCCTGTGCTGCTTCGTTGCACCAATACCTCTTCCGTGGGCCGTTTCGGCCTGCAGATCAACCGCGAGTTTGGTTTCAATTGAAGCTTTTCCGCGATGAGGTAGAACCTCTTTCACCAACTTTGCGCAGATATCCGAACTTGTTTTGGATACTGCCAGTGCCTTTTGATGTAGCGTGTGGCCTGGAAGAGTGGAAAGTCATGCTTTTTGCAGCAAGCGCCTTCATGACCCTGCTACACAAAGGACATCTTGTGCAACTAGAAGGCGCCATGATCACATGGTTCTGGCCTGAAATTGTGCAGGACCTTTCACTGCTACAGATTGCCAGCGCAGCCAAAAGTTCATGCGGTGTCAAGGGCCGCAAGCGGCAGCTGGCCAGCGCGCTGCAATTCTTTTCAACGCTTGCAGCTCCGTATGGGCAACCAGCACAGGGAAAAGCAACCGCCATGGGCACACATGTGTTCTACCGCTATGTGTTGCTCCAGCGGTACTTGCAAGCCCACAACGACAAACGAAGAAAGCCTTCAAAACCAAAGTCCCCACGTGTCCCGCTTCTTTTCTTGTCGGAAGCGCTCGAGACTGCTGCCAAGCCTCGCAATCCAGCTGGCGATGGTGATGAGATAGATTTACAGGATTTAGAAGGCGGTAGCTGTAGCTCTGACAGCGAGGACCTTCTTCCAGAGGCCCAATATTTGGTGGACGATGAGGGGGCGGTATACTTCGCAGATTCAATCTTGCAGTCGTTGGAGGAAGAAAGAAATTCCTTTTTGCAGTCCGTGGAAGGCAGCGGGGGCCAACGTAGCCAAGGCATGCTTGCCTGTGTTCTTTGCCCTTTCCGGGCTTTTACAGAAAGGCGAAAGCTCTTGAAGCATCTCACATTGCACCACAAGATTGAGAATCAGTTTGTGTGCTCCGGCAGCAAACAAATCAAAGTCGTTCTGTCCTTGCACGATTCCGATTGTGCTCGCAGAAAGATGGAGTTTGGGTATTTGCGCCGCAGCGCGGCCTACTTCCGCCAGCACGTCCAGCCTCCTCTTCCTGTCACACGGAATGCTGTGGACCGCTATGTCCGGCTGTTGCTCACGGCTGCTGGACCCACCTATTGCAACGAAGTCTCCTTGGGCGTAAAGATATTTGCCCGCAGGGTTCGCAACATCTACTATGACCAGTCGTTTGCCGAGATCGTCTATCGCGAGCTCGTGCTTCACCACGCAAATGTGAAAAGCATCTGGGGCAGACTGCATTTGCGCTGTGTCGAGGCTGGCAATGAGCTGGGCAACCTACTTCCGACCCACACACGGCACTGGTGGCCTATCATCGAAGACGTCTTTATGTGCAAGGCCATCCAAACACTTCTATCCAGCATCGAACTTACCCTTCGATCAGATTCTGAGTTCCTGTGCATTTCTATCGATGCTACTTTGAAGGTAGCTATGTCCATCAAGGGCCAAGCAAGCTACAGAAGCAGCGCCTCTGTCAGAAACCAGGCGTGCTTCGGAGATGACGAAGCATTGCGGCGGGTTCTCACTGTCAGAGGTCGCACAGGGGCAGTGTTAGCAATGCAGCTAATCAAAGGTGAAGATGCTCCAGAAGTTGCTTTTGCATTGCAGAGTGCCCTCTCGGAGATGGCTCGTGCGCAAGTTCGGTATGTCATGAGCGACTCACCGTCTTTGAAGCTGCTGCAAGCCTTGAAAGCAGTCTTCCCAAATCTATCTGGCCTGGCTTTGGATCCTGTGCACCTGGCCATTGTCTATGAGTACGCGCAGTGGCGCAAACGCACGCCAGGCTCCAAACTTCTAAGGGAGTTGCTTCACAAGGTGGTTCAGCATGACGCTGAAAAAGGCATGCTGTCATGGGGGCCTTTGTATGATGGTCAGGAGTCCGACCCCTTGTCTCGCCAAGAGGAAAAATGGCGACAGGAAATTCTAGGCTGGACACACACCCAGGCATATGCCAAGCGGGTGATCAACAACTTGGACTCGAATGTGCCAGTCTACACGCGCGTGAGCTTCATTGAAGCAGTTGCAGCCATATGCGCGCTGCACTCAAAGGAAGTCGACCGCAAAGTCACGGGCATGAGCAAGCCCGTGCGCCAGCTGCTTTGGAACGCGTGTTCCCCATCACGCTTGGGATGGTTGTTCAACAACCAAAGGGTGAGGCACTCCCTGGCTCCGGCAGAGCGATGCCTTTTACCTTCTGGCACCACTTCCAACGAAGCTCTCCACAGCCAGATCAATTCGTGGGCGCGCTCAACCCACGAATTACACCGCAGCACTTTGAAGTTGAAGCTGCAAGTGTACACATTGGGAAAGCAGCTGAGTCACTACTTGGCTTCGTGCTTCCCACCTGCGCGGCAAACAGCAGAAAATATTTTGCTTGCACGCGGGCTGGGTCAAAGCCCTTGGACTTCGGAACTCTGGCAAAGATCTTGCTGCTGCCGCGATGATCCCGCACGGCCAGTCGCAGCTTGGCTCTTTTAATTGGTTGTCATGTTTGATGTTTGGATGCGTGCTCTTGTGCCATAGAATCGTATATGGCTGTTGGTTCTCGTGGCTGGCTGTAACGAACTTCTCAGGAGAAGTGCCAAGTTCCTCTTCATCAAGAGCGACTCACTGAGAGCCGGCGTGTCCGTCAATGGACATTGAAACAGCCAGACCGTCCTACCAGGAGACAGAAGTGTAGGAAACGCACGCCGCTGACTGTGCCAAGAAAGCACAGCGTGCGCAGCGGTGGTGTCAAGCCCACTAAGTAGGCTTTTCATCAGGCAGCACTCATTCGCTTTGAAAGAGACAAAACCATAGTATGCTGTGTTTCCTTGCTGTGAACCTGTGTGTTCTTGTCCGTGTCGCTGAGATGATGACTGAATTCTTTCATTGAAACGCACAGTTCATCGCAATGTCTTGCAAGTTACGAGGCCAGACCCACCACCTCCACAAGTTGGTGATGCTGCCGATTGCGTTGCGTGCTGGTTGCCCAGACTGCAATGAAGTTTCGATAGTTCCATGGTGTGTGAAGTTTGGGCTTGATCGTTCTGGTCCTTCTCATTAAGCTCGCCAGCATAGCGGCACTGCGAGGTCATAGTGTTCGGATGGTGGCACGCTTGCCATATAGGGTTCGGATCGGTAGGGATCCAGAGAGCTAGCAGCCTCGCCAAAGGCCTAGATTCGGGTTCGTAGGTGGATGCATGGTCTGGCAGTCATCCACCGACGAAGACATCGCCTTTCCATGGTGATATGACGAAGGGACGCCTTTGTCGCGTACGTGCTTTTATCCGACATGGCGACTGGCTAAGCCTAGAACCACATTTTCGATTTCCGTGCTTGCTATGTCACATCAGGATGTCCTATAGGCTTCGAAACCTCAAGGCGACGATGATTCAATTTTCTATAGTTCCTTAACAAAAAACATACAGCGTGTGGCGTGTGTCTGTGTGGACATCGTGTTCCAGAGAATGCGTTGTTGAAATCTAGAGACCTTCACCTGGCAAGAATAATAACATATAGTAACTAAAACCTGTGATCCCTCAAGTCTTAAATTTTGACCCATGTTCATTTGTGAGAACATTTGTTTTCAGAAGTTTCGCTGATTTGAAGAAGGTCAGGGGAAGAAGTAAAGACACACACGCACACAAATTTCTCATGAGTTACCGCTTCTGAGGTTGCCTATGGTTGCCTCATGGGTGGCTGATTTTTCCGAAGAGCCCGGCTTGCAGAAGGGTTGTGTATATTTGATACACAAGTGTGCGAGTGTAAGCGGCCCAAAAAAGTGAGCTGCAGGTGCCAGTATTGTGGTTTCAGAACCCCGTCATTCTATACATAAAGGTCCCCTCCACATATATATATATATACATATATATATATATATCAATGTAAATAGATCGATTAATCAAGTAGAGATAGATAAATGGATTAAATCATGTATGTGTAGCAACTATAAAACAGACAGTAAAGTGGGAAACCTGCAATTATGCATCTAATACAATCCGTAATTTCCTGGAAGCACCTTTCTATCTTGGGAATTGCCATACATATATACTATATCTCTGTGAATTATGGACAAGACCGATCAGGTCAGCAAAATTTTCTGGTGAGGTGTCGCAGAGGATGCGCGCGGCCTATGCCAATGACATGAAGGATGGGGGCGTCTCCATGAAAGAACTATGTGAAGGGCAACCTTAAACCAATAGCGAACCACTAAAGTCATTCCAAGGAGCAAAACCCAAAGTTCAGATGTTGACTGTTACGACTATTTTGATTGTCCCCTTCTTATCCATTACTATCCCACTAAATGATCCATTCCTGCCATCCCAGATTAACAAACCCTGGGCTGGTGAATTGGGTTGTGGTTACCATTTGAATAGCAGATTACACCATGGGGGTTACCCCCCACAATTTACTAGAAAAAGACTATTCCCTAATTGGCCTTATTATCGTGTTACCACACATTACCCCACATTCAGTTTCCCATTCATTACTGGGTTTACCACATTGATGCCCACCCCGGACTCATAAACCTGCTCTCTGCTTGGATCGGGGGTACTATTTGCATCGAATGTTGGAAACCCAATGCCATGAACCATTTGAGGATGGTAGCAATAGCACCCATTTCTGGTGACTTGGGGATGGTTTGCTGTTGGGTTTACCACGCTCCCGGCAGGAGATGATGAGCTTCTGGCAGGAGCTGCTTCCAATTCTCATCGGGCAAAGTGCTGATGACGTGAAGCAACGAAAAAATGGCTTGTTGGACGCTGAAAGCGACGGATAGTTGACGGTGAAACCTGTGTTAAACCTCCATTCTTGATGGTTAAATCTTTGTTTGTGGGTGAAGTCTGGTTAAATCCCAATTTTTGACGCTTGAAGCACGTCATGCCCCCAATTTTTTCATGGAAATGCAGACAGACAATCCGACACAGCAGTTGGGGATCTCCCATCAGCCCAGCTTTCCGCCAGCTTCGGCTCTATCAGCTGAAAGCCGCGGCGGCGTCGCCTCCCCGATGGCACCGAAAGCGCGAAAGGTCCGGGCGCGGCAACGCACTGAGCTGAAAGATGAGCCTTGGATTTTTTAAGCATTCATGTATATGTCGGACAAGTGGGCTATATAGTAAACACTGTTTTTGGTATGTCTCACTTGTATACTAAAGTTTTCACCCCTTACTACGCTGTGCTTATGGCTCAAGCAAAACAATTGCGCTAGCTGGTGCTTTCAGGTTGATTCACCTGTAAAACAGGTTATCAGCCGTAAGCTAATTCTTCCTTTCTAGGTATGTCTGCCCCCTCGGATTCCACCACCGAGGGCACCGGTCGCGTTATCTCCTCTGACCAAGCCATGGCTAATCCGGGGACATTACCTATTAGTAACTTGCCATTCTCTATTGACATCAGCACCCCACCAAGCTCCGACAAATCCAGAAGCTTGCGGGAACGACGCCACCTTCCACATTTGAGTAACGCAGTTGTGCCTTCTCATATTGGATTCAGTCACCGTGGTTTTGTCCCCCAAGCCGCTCGGGAGGGTGGGCCACCAACTCGCCAATTGAACCAGATGAATGTCCATAATACGTTTCAACACAATGTTCATGTTGACAATCCTCAAGTGAATTTTGTCGAGCAGAATTTGCATCTTCATGCACATGACCCTGCTATGACAAGCCTTGTGGAAACAACGGCCGAACTCCGTCATCGCGAAGTGTTGGCCCAGGCCGAAGCCCACGCTGAAGCCGTCCACACGGCAAAGACTGAGGAATTGGTGGAAGCATTGCGAGTCCGTGAAGGCATTGAAAGTCAGAGGGCCTTAGATGCAATGATGTCCAAAGAACAAGAAGTATTGAGAATGGGAGCACAGTATAGGGAGAACTTACAGCATGAGGCGCACGAACACGTAAGGTTCCGAGAAGTTCAAATGAATGAGAAAATTCAAGCCTATCAACGTGTCATTGATGCTAACCATCGACAATCACTATCAAGTAAGGAGCAAGAGATCCTTGAGTTGAGAAGAGCAGCTGAGGAAGAGAGAAGGATTCAGAACGAACGCATTACACAGCTTGAACACATGGTACAAGCACAGATGCAACATAATCTGAAACTGCAATGCATGCTCGATTCCCAGTTTGCACAGGTTCGTCCAAGTCCTATTGTCGAAACTGCCGCCATGACTATGACAGCCGGAACCCATGAATCAACGGAGATCCCAAATTTCGAATTTGTTCCACCGACCCGCAAGGCTGCACCCGCAGCACCTCCAACCAATGTAGCCCGACCTCCAATTGCAAGAACGCCGATCAACTTTACTTCACCTGATGCCAAGACTTATGAAAAGGATGGTATTGAAATCATTTATCATGATCCATCATATCGAGTCCCAGTTCAAGTGAAGAAGGAGTCGGATGTTGCAAGGTCTTCCGCTGAGGAACGCCCTTCGGGAGGAGAGGCCAATAACCGTCGCCGAGATAACCACCCCATGGATAGTGTCAATTCCCCAGCACCGACCAATCAATATGCCCCGACCGAATTAGGCCCAGATGAGATGGAGTACTTCGAGCCGGGGGACGATGATGCGCCTGATGGGGACGATCCAGGGGATGGAGGAGATGGCAACGGAGGGAACGGGGGAGGTGGACCACCATCACCACCTGATCCGATTGATAAACCTGAAGGGGATAGGAACCGTCAGGCACCCAGAAAAGGTAGGGCTGGTCCCAATCCTCCTGACGGCGGTGATGACGGTGATGATGATCTCGATGATGAGGATGATGAGAAGTTCAGGCGAAGGATGATTAAGTTTCTAGGTGGCTACATTGACCCAAAGCATGATGACAAACCCAAGGTCAAGGAAGCTGACACCATCAAGATCCCAGCATTCCCATTGGCAGAAACCTATCGCAATTGGAGAATCAAGACTAGAGAAGCAGTTGTAGCAGCATCGACCGATCCCGACAGTGCTTTCAAGTGGATTAGTGATTCTTGGAAAGAAGAACAGACCCTTGAAGCGCTCCGGAAGGTTGCGCCGTTTGCGACACTAGATGCAAAGTTACTTTCTGCACTCACCAATATCATCACTGGTGACTTCGCCCGCAAGGTAGATACCTTCAAGGAGACTGAAGCCACTGCTGGACGGATTGTAAGAGGGAGACAAGTGTTGTTCATGTTGCATGACCACTTCAGTACTAATATCAAGCACGGAGCAACCTATGCCCTTCAAGATTTGTTCAGTGTCCAATTGCGTGGGGAGAATTTGAAGTCTTTCATTTCAAACTGGGATCAGGTGTTGGCTGGTATCGTCCAAGCTCCTGACGTAAGTGTATTGGAGACACTCTTCTACAAACAAGTGAAGAATTGTAAGGCCATCCAACATGACATGAATGAGTATCATAGAGCTGATGAAGGAACCGAAAAACGGAACTACAGTTTCCTTGTTTCTGCCGTGCGACGCCACCTTGACCGTGAGAGGTTGGAGGCAAATCGTGATCGAGTTGCCAAAGGTCTTTCGGGTTCCGGTCGTCCCTCCGCTCCTGCAGTCGAGGGCAAGACAGGATTCATTCCCAAGGGGTATTGTGTGGCATGGAATAAGGGAGGCTGTAGCAAGGACAACTGTACTTACAAGCATGAAGTCCCCAAGCCACGTGATAGAAGTCGCAAACCCAGCAAAACCAGGGGTCGCTCAAATGAACGTTCTGGTTCTCCCAGACCAAAGGGGAAAGGTAAGAAGATTTGCAAATTTTGGAAACAGGGACGTTGCGATAGAGGAGCTGATTGCAAATTCCTTCATGAGGGTTCAGTGGGAAAACCAAGACAAGCTACTCCTGCCCGTTCGGCCAGTAGCGAAAACAAAAATAAAAAGAAGAATCCCAAGAACCCGAAAAGGAAGGGATCCCGAAGCTCTAGCCGCTCTAAGAGCCCCAAGAGCCCGAAATCCCCGAAGTCTAAAGGATCCGGGGCCAGTTCGTCTAAGCCGTCTCCTGCCGCAGTTTGTCTTGTTGCATCCATGCTTGCATCCGTGTCTCAGGCATTTTGTATCCCTCAGCCAAGAGTATTTTGTCCATCGATTCGTTTTGATGATTCACCGGACGTATCTCATGTTAAAGTCCGAGGGAACTTGAGGCCAATTGGAAACGCAGTCACCAAGGATAAGGTTACCTTTCCATGGGGACACCAATTTGAAGTTGATCAACTTGCTGTGAATGATGCCGCCTTGACCGGTACCATGTTGGCAGGATCTGTTTCCAATTGTCTTCGGGGAATTGACTGCAAATGTGCCTATTTATGTGACACTGATTTTGGTTGCAATGAATGCATCCCAAAGGGAATCAAAGCCACCCCTGCGGAATGTCGAGAAGACGTGAAGGGAGCGATCAACCTCGAACTTGACTGGATTGCAGATACGGGGAGCGCTCAAGATCTTGTCAATGATAGTGAATTGCCAGATGACTATGGATACTACTCCAACAATCCCATTCGCATGATTACTGCCAATGGTGAAAGTTCGTCATCGAAACAAGGAAAAGTATTTGTCCCAAAGTTAGGCAAGACCATTGACCCATATCTTGTTCGAAGCTCACCTCCTGTCATTTCAGTCGGGATGAGATGCATTGATGATGGTTACGACTTCATATGGAGAGGCTCCAAAGGTGAACCTCCGTACATGGTCAAACCAAATGGGGAACGCATTGAGTTAGTTGTCAGAGATTACGTACCCTACTTTGCAAATAATTCAAAGACAATTTCCACTCCATCAACTCAGCCTAGACCAAGTATTGCCACCCCGGCATCAGATGAAGCTCAACAATCTCCGGAGCCCGATGGGGACATTGAAATCATTGGTGATGACCCCATGGGTATCAACGTTGACTTACCGGAGCCCCAGCCCTTGGAGGCTGAGGAGGTTGATGTTCCTGATGCCGACCGGGAGGTTGAGCCGCCTTTGGAAGGATCTAAGGGTAGCAGTAGTAATGTCCATGATGATGGTGCTCATAAAAGGTCACTGGGGGAAAAAGATTTGAAAGAAGAAGCCAAGTCCATTCGACACATGCTGACTCACATCCCTAAGAACCCTTTTTGTGACATATGCACCAGAGCTAAGATGTTCAAGCCACCCTCAAGAGCCGTAGGCGGATCAACCAAAGTCAAAGCTGATAAATTTGGTGATCACATAACTGCTGATTTTATTGTCACCAGAGATGAAGATGAGTTGGGAATCGATGATGAGAAAAGTGCACTCGTCGTGAAGGACATAGCTACAGGATTTATGTATGTCTACCCCAATGCCAGGCGAACCACCAATGCTGCAATCTTAGCAATCAAACATTTTGTTGGACATGAAGATAAGATAGGAGTCTTCTATAGTGACAATGCACCTGAATTAATCTCAGCAATGAAAATCCTTCAGTGCCGTCACGTCTTAAGTAGGGACTACATATCCAAGTCTAACGCCCAAGCCGAGAGAGCAGTCCGGTCAGTTCTTGAAGGCACTCGTGTCAATCTGCTCCAAGCAGGTCTGAATCATTGGCACTGGCCACATGCTGCCCGACATTGGTGCTTCATGCAGAATGTCATTGCAACGGGGGGGGACAAATCACCATGGGAATTACGTTTTGGATCGAGATTTGATGGTCCCCTCATTCCTTTTGGTTGTCTTGTCGACTATTGGAATGGTCCGAGAAAGAAGAATAAAGAGGGACTTCGTTTCGACCCAACATCGAGCCCTGGTTTATTCCTTGGCTATGCCATTCACCCCGAATTCATGTGGAGAAAAGAATTCATGGTTGTACCTACGAAGGATCTTATTGAAAATGAATCCAATGGTACTGCATCAATCCTGCGGGTAATCAAGATCAACAAACCGAGTGATACGCAATTTCCTCTCCAAGGCAGAACGACTTTTGGAAAAGATGACCCGGGACTTTCCGAAGCTCTGGGGAACCAAGAGCCGGCTTTGGAGGATCAGGATGCAAAAATGGATGATGATGACGAAGAATCCCAGGAAGAAAGTTTCCAATTATCTACTGCCCATGCCGTCCACGATGAAACATGGCTACCCTTCATGAGACATATA